GTATAATACTGTAGTATGATTATCCACATATAGATAAATAAATCTTAAATCATTTTCCAAACCAGTCTTCATCTATTTACCATAATATGTAATAAACAATTAAGTTTAATCCATAGAAGTCTGTGTTGAATCATAAATGAACACTATATAAACACTGTGATAACAGGATTCAGAGTGTGGTGCAGTGGATAGAAGAATGGACTTGGACTCTTGAGAACAGGATTCAAATCCCCACTGAGCCATGGAAACTCACTGAGGGTGTGGAACTGGTAAAACCACCCCTTATATATCTCACTGTATGTTATTTCTTACTTGATGGCACAGAACACACACATACACAACATGGTAAGCACCAGCAGCCCGTCCAAGCAGAGTGGGTATAGTACCACTATCTCCCCACCCAGCTCTGTTGATGATTCTCCTTAAATGGGGAACTGTTAATAAAAGCAAAGTTATACTTTTTTTCCCAGCCATAGGGACAATGAGTCTTAGTTTAGTTTTGCAGTTACAGAATGATGGAGTTCAGAGAGGGGGTAAGAATTCTGAATTTGGATTGTGAAGAATAGCTTTTGCTATGCAATCCTGTACATGTTTATTCAGAAATAAATCTTGCTGAGCTGACTGGACCTTCCTTCCTAGTTGATTGTGTATAGGTTTTCAGTCTTTTTTTCTGCTTGCTCAGAGGGGAAAATATTTGGTTTGAACAGAGAAAATATTATTTTAGTTTGCACTTGCAGGATGAAAAATTATTCTTTCATTATCATATGAAAACTTTCAGACAGGCTGATTTTAAGACATGATGGTAGTGCAGTTTTTTGCTGTACCTACTTTTGAGATGTATTTTGCATATATTTCTCTCTACCAAATGTTTAATGATTACTAGCATAGTACAGCACAGTAAAGCACTGCAAGGCCATTTTATAACATTCTTTTCAACAAACTTCATGGGCAAAAGGTTTGTGATTACATGAGCCTCTTGGGTCTAAAAATAGGAGGATCTTGGAAACGGCTTGTTCTTCTTTGCTCAAAAGACTGCACCCTTAATCTGCAAAGCTGGGTTTCTATTTTCGTTTCCAGGAGTTTTCTTTACCTTAGAAAATGGAAAAAGCATTAAAATGCTAAAGTGTGGTCACAATTACCTGTACAAACTTAGACAGTTCAGTGCATGTACCAAATAAACACATAATCTATGTGTGAGCTTATTACTTCTGCATTGTTTCTGTATTTGTCCTCACAGTATACTTCAGAAAGTGGCTACTTGTGATATTTTATCCATCCCTTACCCTAATCCAGTTTGGAGGGTTGGAAAAAAGCTATACATACACTGCTCTTCTGTCTATCATTTTCTCCTTCCCTTATTCTTTTGGCTTGACAAAACATTGACATTATGTTGAAACTTGCATGCTGTGGTTTGAATGATCCCTCAAAGCCAAAGCTGTTCAAATCTGGTTTTCAGTCCCATTTGGAAAAATCACACAAATCACATTTTGCTCATTTAGATATCAAAGCAAGGTATAGTTTGACAGTATGTTAAGAGGTGCTCTTTCCCCACCATAGAAACCATATTTTAATGTGAATGGGTCATCAAAAACACAGAAACACAACCAATTTATTAGTCCAAGAATCTGGCTATGTGATATACAATGATCTTTAATCTGAAAATGTAAGCACCAACTTGCAATAATTAGCAAACTGTAGAGAAAGCAACTCTGTGTCACTTAAAACTGTTTCAGTTCCTCCATTACATTCACTTGTCATTTCTATGTGGTCATGACTTAACTATTGTGTGTCCCTCTGTAGATAATGGTTGAAACATTTTTCTTCTGGTTTTGTATATTATATTATAAAAAATTATTAAAATAAATATGTCAGTGCTATAATTTCATGCATGGAGCACTTTTGTGGCTATAGTGGTCTGGCAGAACCAACCAGAAGAAACCTTGCAGCAAACCAAGGGTTTCCCTTAAGTATGTGCAGATTACTACCTTTCTTATTCTCTTAAACCTTAAGATGCTTTCTACACATAACTATGGCCATGGGATTGTTAGACAGTGGAATTCATTGTGTATTAATTAAATTTTACTATAGAATTTCAATTGTGAAAAAGATGAGTAGTTGTAATTTTCCGTTTCTTGAACTGTGGTGAAATTATAAGCCTGTGTGTTGCGGCGTGGGATAGATGGAAAGAACCTGTAACATCATTAAGTCAGCACTTGCATACATTCCATTGGCAGGAGTCCAGCTGGAAAGTTACGGTGGTGTAACCCATTAGTGTAAATTTCACCTAAGAATTTATATAGTTAGAAGTCAGTATAGGCATTGGTAGTCATACACTCACAGAATTGGTGGCTGACAGGAAATGTCTATAACTGTCAGGATAGTAGTCAGAGATTCACTTGGTTTATTCGGTTGAGGACTAATAATCCCTTTAGACCGAGTGTATTCTCAAAGTTAATTTATTCCTTAATTCTTTGTATGTGTCCACTTTCCTGAGCCACTGTTTTCTCCTGGCTCTTCACCCTGTCATTGTAGATCGCGAGTCAGATGTGGACAGGTAAAATGTGGATTAAAATGCCCACTTAGCCATAAAGGTCCCATTAGATAACCGTATATCATTCAAGTCTCTAGTTTGAAGGATATTTTTGCCTTTCTTGGGTGGTTGTGATTGGAAAATTAGAGAAGAGATCATGTGGTCATTAAAAGGAAGGTGAAAGGTAGAATGAAATGCAGAAATAAAATTTATATCAGTAAAATCAGCCTGTCTTTAGTTTGGCTGAGCTTATTACTTAGTATGGCATTTCTGTGACTGCCTTAGTTCCTCCCTGCATACAAGGCTGCTTCTGCAAATGTGATGGGCATATTTGATAAACATTGCTATATGGGCAAAAGCTGGTGCTGACAAGCCTTTAGGATTTCACATTTTTCATGTGTTTTGAAGAGTATGCATTTCTTGATACTGTAGTTGTATCTTGGAATTCCTTCTGATTGCTTGCCAGAGTTTCATTTTCAAGATAGCATACAGTTTTCGCTCCATAAGATGCACTTCCCCTCCCCCCCAAAAGTGGAGGGAAAAGTGTGTGCATCTTATGAAGTGAATACTGTAAAAAAATGGTGCAGACACACACACCCAGAACCCATGTTGCTGTACTCCTCCTCTTCGGTCAACACCCCGCTCCGAGTTTCTCTCGTCTCTCCGCATCCCCCTCACTAGGCCGGGACCTGAACGTCAGAGGGGCGCCTGCCTCAGCCCAGCGCTGCCGCCACCAGCAGAAAGCGATGTGAGGGGAGACTCGAAATGGGGGAGCGCAGCAAGCTCCTTCTCCTCCTCCCCTCCGTAGCTTTCCTCTCTTCTGCTCCGTTCGTCTCAGCTTTCTTCTCGCCCTCACCTTGCTTTTCGCTCTGCCAGCCCTTCCTTCGCTCACACAGTGGTGGCGGCTCCTCCTCTTCACACTTCCCCCTTCCTTCCTCTCCCCTTTCTGCCTCTCTCCTCTCTCTCTTTTTCTCTATTCTGTCTCTCAGGACGCCCATCAGGGACTAGCTAAGGTGTCTCTTCTGCACTCCCACAAAAATAAGGGTGTGTGGGGGGAACCGGGTAATGATAAATGAGTAATCAGGGAGCCCACGATTATTACTTGAGCTATGGTTCCCGCCGCCACCCACGTCACAGGGGAGACGCCGCAGCGCCACCCAGGCAGCCAGGCTTGACAGAAGTGCTTTTTTCCTGTTTTCCTCCCTCTAAAATTATGTGCGTCTTATAGTCAGGTGCATCTTATGGAGCAAAAAATACAGTAATTGTAGCAAAGTTCTTTACAGTTTGTAGGGAACTGTGTCTTATATTAATGACATCCATTAGCAACTTTCAGAATTAAATCTGTTGTTTTTGAAATATCATCATACAATCATTGGAAGGGGCCTTTAAGGCCATTGAGTCCAAACCCCTGCTCAATGCAGGAATACAAATCAAACGATATCTGCCAGGTACCTCTCAAGATAATTGATTCCATTGTCATATTGCTCTAACAATTAGGACATTTTTCTTGATATTCAACCAAAATCTGATGTTCTGTAACTTGACCACATTGTTGTGTGCCCTGCACTTTGGAATCATTCTCATCATATGGCATTTCTTCAGGTATAACCTGGATATGAGTGGTGGAGGTGTTCCTCATTTTACAAGAAGCACTGTGTGTAGTAAAGGTAGCAGAATCCTGCTCTACCGCCATGTGTTCTAGCCCATACCCAAATCTCTCAGTTATTACAGCTTTTAACGGCATTTAGATAAACTCCACGAAATATACATGCATTAGTAGCTGAAGTAGCTAAGTGGATCCTTCACAATGAAAGCTGTATCTGTACCACACACTAGGAACAAATAAAAGTAAAAGGTATTGCCTTCAAGCATGGTGTTTAGAAGCATAGCTTCTAGAAGGGTGTGGTTAGCCGCTGTTGGTGGCAAAATGCTGATCTACAGGAATCTTTTACCCAATCCAGAATAGCTCTATAAATTGAGATTGGGTGTGAGAAATAGAAGAGGCAGTTGATGGACAGAGAGCATGCTATAAATTACAGAAATCAAAATGGGGTGAGAGAGAAAAAATATGGGCTAAATCCAAGATTAATCTGACCCTTCTAGTAGGCACATTGAAACCAGTGGAAGTTGTGTTTCACCAGTTCTATTCAGTTCAGTTAGTTTTCAGTGAGAAGAGCTAATACTGGAGTTACCCCAAAATATTTTAAAAACAAAGCAGGGTTAATGTTGTGTCAATTATGTTTTTTTCTTTAGTTTATTGAGCATTTAAAAAAATTCCAAATGTAATAAAATGTCAAGTGCCCCTCAAAATAATTTTAGTTATGCATCTTTCCATTACAGACTAAAAGATTTTGACTGTGTAAGAGCCCCTAAAATAATCCCTATATGCCTCTATACCTAAATAGGAGATTTAAAAAAAAAACAAATGAGAGAATTTGGATTGTTACTTTCTTTTTCTTTTTTTTTAAAGAAAACCTGAAAAAGGAATCCAGTACCTGATTGAGAGAGGCTTTGTGCCTGATACACCTGTTGGAGTTGCTCACTTTCTTCTACAAAGAAAAGGACTCAGCAGACAGATGATTGGAGAATTCCTTGGAAACCGACAAAAGCAGTTTAACCGGGATGTGTTAGAGTAAGTAACACATATTAAACATTTCAACTCTTACATATTTGAGCATGTGGTCAGCAACTTTTAAAAGAACTGGTATCCACTGAGTAGTTTGTGCATAGGCTAAAAGCAATTTCAGAGAGGCTGTCTCTGCCAGACTGTGTAAGAATTAATCAAGAAAATAATTGGGGGGGGGGGAATCCCATTACTTTTTCAGCCATGCACACAACTCAGCAAGACTAATCCAGACGAATGTTTGCAAGGATTTGTCTGTTGTACTATAATCCATAATTACTTGAAATGTACAGGACAAGTTCATTCAGAAGGAAATTGTCAATTAATTATGAATCCTTTACTGTTCCTTGAAGTGTAGCAGAATTCATTTTCTAAAAGAAAAATGGCATGATGTGATATGCTAGGGTCTTCTGCATACAGGAAGAGACTATTGTTGTTTCACATAATAGTGTTCAGCTAATTCCTCGGTCAGGTATTTCAGTCTTTTCTGTTTAAAAAATAAAAAAAATAAAATAAGACTTAAGGACACAAAACAGAAATATGTGACAGCCAAAGAAAAATATTGAATAATAATAATCTTAGGGTTAACTGCACGGCTGGATGGGATCTTACAGGTCATCGAGTCCAGCCCCTGTCAAGGAGGCACAGGGGGGAATCAGACTCCCAACTACTGGCACTATGGCAAGATACAAAAAGCACTGACCAATCCAGTAGCCCCTATGGTAAAAGATTCATAAAAAATGTGCCATAATATACACAGTATATCATCTTACGATAGAGGTTACAACGCAGACCTAACTTAATGTATTACATGTATATATTTTGATTAGGCGTTGCTGTTGCATGCAGACTTTCATGTTGATTGGTGTGCATATTATTTGTGATGTTTACTCATATGAATGTGCTTTTATTGCAACGAACTATACATAAATAATCCATTGCAATAAATAGTGGAGTACAGTATACACTATTTTTACTATGCTTAAATTGTGGTTATATTGAATGTTTTAATTGTTTTAATTCTAATTTGTTGTAAGCCGCCCAGATTACACTGTGTCTAGATAGGCGAGATATAAATTCAATAAATAAATAAATAAATAGATAGATAGATAGATAGATAGATAGATAGATAGATAGATAGATAGATAGATAGATATAGATAGATAGATAGATAGATAGATAGATAGATAAATAAATAAATAAAAGGTGGGTTGTCCTCCTCACGATCCCCACGTGGCCTCTGCTTGTTTCATCAAACAAAGAGCTCACGCTACGTGTCCCTAAGCTGCCATCAGTTGATACATTAACATTGTTGTTGTTTATTTATTTATTTGATTTATATCCCGCTCATCTGGTATGTTTATACCACTCTGAGCGGCTAAGTCATGTCCGACTCTTTGTAAACTCATGGACAAGAGCACACCAGACCCTCATTTCTTCCACTGCCTCCTGGAGTTTGGTCCAATTCATGTTGGTCGCTTCGATGACACCGTCCGTTCATCTCGTCCTCTGTCGTCCCCTTCTCCTCTTGCCTTCACACTTTCCCAACATCAAGATCTTTACCAGGGAGTCTTCTCTTCTCATGAGATGGCCAAAGTATTGGAGCCTCAGCTTCAGGATCTGTCCTTCCAACCCTGAGCACTCAGGGTTGATTTCCTTCAAAATTGATAGGTTTGTTCTCCGTGCAGTCCAGGAGACTCTCAAGAGTCTCCTCCAGCAACACAATTCAAAAGCATCAATTCTTTAGCGGTCAGCTTTCTTTATGGCCCAGCTCTCACTTCCATACATCGCTACTAGAAAAAAATATAGTTTTGACTATGCAGACGTTTGTTGAAAAGCTGATGTCTCTGCTTTTTAAGATGCTGTCTAGGTTTGGCATTGCTTTCCTACCAAGAACCAGGAGTCTTTTAATTTCGTGGCTGCTGTCACCATCTGCAGTGATCAGGGAGCCCAAGAAAGTAAAATCACTGCCTCCATATCTTCCCTTTCTTTTTGTCAGGAGGTGATGGGGCCAGTGGCCATGATCTTAGTTATTTTGATGTTGAGCTTCAGACCACTTTTTGCGCTCTCCTCTTTCACCCACATTAAGCGGTTCTTTAATTCCTCCTCACTTTCTGCCATCAAAGTGGTATCATCTGCATATTTCTTGTTGATATTTCTTCCGGCAATCTTGATTCCGTCTTGGGATTCATCCAGTCCTGCCCTTCACATGATGTATTCTGCATACAAGGGAAACAATATACAGTGGTGCCCCGCTAGACGCTTACCCCGCATGACGTCAAAATCGCTTGACGATGACATTTTTGCGATTGCTATTGCAATCGCAAAACGATGGTTACAGTGGGGTTTTTTCACATTATATTGATTAGGAGCCTGCTTCGCGAACCGTTTGTTCACAAAACGATGTTTTTTCCGACTCCGTAAAATGGCTTCCCTCCACAAAATGGCTTCCCTCCCTTCTCAAAATGGCTGGTTTCCACATTACAGCAAATTGGAACAGCTACTTGGCGGTTCTTTATGGGCAGTCTTCACTGGACTATGAGGTATTTCCCCCATTGGAACGCATTGACTGGTTTTCATTGCATTCCAATGGGGATTATTTTTTCGCTTGACAACGATTTCGATTAACAGCAATTTTCCTGGAACGGATTATCGTTGTCAAGCGGGGCACCACTGTACAACCTTGTTGTACTCCTTACCAATTTTGGACCAATCAGTTGTTCCATAACCAGTTCTAACTGTTGCTTCCAGTCCCACATATAGATTTCTCAGGAGATAGATAAGGTGATCAGGCACTCCCATTTCTTTAAGGACTTGCCATAGTTTGCTGTGGTCCACACAGTCAAACGCTTTTGCATAGATGTTTTTTCTGGAATTCTCTGGCTTTCTCCATAATCCAGTGCATGTTAGCAAATTGGTCTCTAATTCTTCTGCCCCTTGAAAATCCAGCTTGTACTTCTGGGAGTTCTCGGTCCACATACTACTGAAGCCTACCTTTTAGGATTTTGAGCATAACCTTGCTAGCTTTGAAATGAGTGCAGTTGGTTGGTAGTTAGAGCATTCTTTGGCACTGCCCTTCTTTGGCCTTGGGATGTAGACTGATCTTTTCCAATCCTCTGGCTACTGCTGAGTTTCCCAAACTTGAAAGCATAATGAGTGTAGCACCTTAACAGCGTCATCTTTTAAGATTTTAAGTGGAATGCCATCACCTCCACTTGTCTTGTTGTTAGCCCTGCTTTCTAAGGCCCACTCGACTTCACTCTCCAGGATGTCTGGCTCAAGGTAAGCAGCCACGTTATCTGGGTTGTCTGGGACATCCAGATCTTGTACTTCTGGGAGTTCTCGGTGCACATACTGCTGAAGCCTACCTTGTAAGATTCTGAGCTTGCTTTTATTTATTTATTTATTTATTTATTTATTTATTTATTTATTTATTTATTTATTTATTTATTTATTTATTTAATTTTATACCCCGCCCATTTAGACGACATCTACTCTTGCTAGCGGGTGAAATGAGTGCAATTGTACAGTAGTTGGAGCACTCTTTGGCACTGCCCTTCTTTGGGATTGCGATGTAGACTGGTCTTTTCCAATCCTCTGGCAACTGCTGAGTTTTCCAAACTTCCTGGCATATTGAGTGTAGCACATTAACAGTATCATCTTTTAAGATGGCATTCCAGGTGACTGGAATGCCATCACCTCCACTGGCCTTGTTGTTAGCCAAGCTTTCAAAGGCCCACTTGACTTCACTCTCCAGTATGTCTGGCTTAAAGTCAGCAACCACACTATCTGGGTTGTCCAGGGCATCCAAATCTTTCTGGTATATTTCCTCTGTGTATTCTTGCTGGCTCTTCTTGATGTCTTCTGCTTCTATGAGGTCCCTCCCATTTTTGTCCTTTATCATGTCCATCTTTGCACACAAACGTTCCTTCAATAGCTCCAATTTTCCTTGAACTGATCTCTGGTTTTTCCCTTTCTATTATTTCCTTCTATTTCTTTGCACTGTTCATTTAAAAAGGCCCTCTTGTCTCTCCTTGCTATTCTTTGGAAGTTAGAATTCAATTTTCTGTAACTTTCCCTATCTCCCTTACATTTTGTTTCTCTTCCCTTTTCTGCTATTTGTAAGGCCTCGTTGGACAGCCACTTTGCTTTCTTGCATTTCCTTTTCTTTGGGATGGTTATTGTTGCTGCCTCCTGTACAGTGTTTTGAGCCTCCATCCATAGTTCTTCAGGCACTCTGTCCACCAAATCTAGTTCCTTAAATATGTTCTTTACTTCCACTGTGTATTCATAAGGGGCTTGGTTTAGATTACAGTACACCTGACTAGCCCAGTGGTTTTTCCTACTTTTTTCAGTTTAAGTTTGAATTTTGCTATAAGAAGCTGATGATCAGAGCCACAATCAGCTCCAGCTCTTGTTTTTGCTGACTGTATAGAGCTTCTCCTAACATTACATAATATTAATGATAGATGTCCAGGCCATATGGCACTTTAAAAGAACCAAATAGAAATTGTTTATTGATACAGGTGTTGACTGAACAAGCAATGTTGTTAAATCTTAAAGAAACATTCTCCTTTATCCACTCTCAACCACCACTCCCCACCCAACCTCCAAAACTCTCTATCTTCCTAACTCAAAACTCCCTATCTCTCTATCTTACTCACCCTCCTCCTGCTGAGTCTCTTATATCTCTTGACTCCGCCCCTCCAGCATTCCCATTGGTCTATGCAGGTAGCATGTTAATATTCATGACCTGGGCAGATGCCACAATCATCTTCCTAGATATATCTGTGGAATGCAGGGTTTTTTGTATCCCCAAAAGAACAATGAAGCAATGTTTTTTTAAAAATATATATATGTTCTGCTAATCCAGTGGTCTTTCCTGGGAAATCTACATGGAATTTCCACCTCATAGCCATGTGGTTCCCCATCCTCCAGAAAATAGTCCTGTGGATCAGAACTTTATGTTGGGGTCTTGCCTAAGTTTATCAAAGGGAGGTTGTTGTGCAGGGAACTGCACAGCATGAAAACATTCTTGGTGCTGTTTAATATGTTATCGAAATATATGATCGTATAGGCTAGAAACCTGAACCATGAACGCCACCTCTTCATATTTGCATCAGTGATTAGAACTCTAATAAATCAAACATTGAATCTTTCTGTTTTATTTGTTCTAAAGCTACTTAGTGAAGCTTGAGTGCCTTTGACTGAGCATTGAAATGCTGCCAGAGAAATTAAATATGCTGCTCGAATGTTTACTTAAAACAACTAAACTGGATAGTATAGAAGCTTTCTGTCAGGTATGCAGATGCAGTTTATTTTCACAAGTTGTTAATGCTGTGAAATGAAACAGGGCAGGAAAACAGTGAAATGTTATTGATAGAACCATTGATGTTCATTTTTTTTATTCTGTTGCTATAAATAATAGAAAAAAGATGAATAGAATGTGGGCATTTTAATAAATATTGCTCCAGATGGCATGCTTCAATTCAGAAATGGCAGGTAGCCAAGCTACTCAAAGAAGGCTTGGCATTCATTTCTTAGACATTTGCAGTTATTTTTATGGATATCTGCCATACTTAATCTGGCTATAGAGAGTGACATTGTTCTGTGATTAAATTGTACAGTATGAAGCCAAAAATATACTAGATATTAATGGGGGGCAATCAACTGGCATGCTGTGTCTATGGTAGATTGACTTCTGGACTTCACTCTGTCAAAGGATCGAGGTATGACAATTTGCACTAACACAATCTCTGTAATGAGGTGTTCTGAAAAGAGGAAAAAATACTACCTCCTTTGCTGCTTCTCAGAAAGCCTATTCGTATTAGGTACTGTAGGCTAGGACAGGCATCACCTTAAAAGGCTATATCATAGGCAAGTTATAGGATCATGCAATCTCTCCTTCCACCTCTTCCCAATTTAACCTCGTCAGGCACTTTGCAGATACTGATACTAACTTTGATTGAGCCTAAACACGCTTTTGGAAGTACGCGCTTGATCTAGAAAAGCTCTAATTGAAGATGTTCAGAAGAAGGGGGCTTACACAGTACTTAAGTGCATAAGAGTATTTTTAATTAAAACGTTTTTAACCTGGGTCCTATGTTCTTGCTGTGATAGCTACATTCATTTGTTGTACTTTGTAATGATATGTGGTGTCATGCTACATTTCGGAGTCTAGGTGGTCATCATGACAGTCCAGTCAGCCACCCTACACAGAAAGTAAGGAGGGTCCAAAGTGGAAGGCTACTGGGTCCATGTGTAGAATATCTTTTTTAAAGAGAATGGATTTTAATTCAAGATTAAACTACTGCGAAATACCTTTTATTACAACAGGGATAGCTCTCAAGAACATACTGTTTTTTGGGGGGAAATCCATTTTTCTCCCAGCTACTGGGAGGATTGCAGCTAAGCTTGGAGGGAACAGGTGGCAGAGGATGTCACAGCCCTTTGTATTTGGAGAGTCTGTGAGTCCTGATTCCAGGACACCACTGGTGTTGATGTCTTTAGTAGCTGGTAACTAGAGAAGCCTAATGCGAAAATAGAAATTAGCAGAGTTTGGTGCGCGTTTTAAATTGAAAGTTAGTCTAAAGCCCCTGTAATAGACAATTAGAACGTAGTTTCAGAAATCATGGTCTTGTATCAGTTTTCAAAAAAAACCAACCCTTCCTCCTCCTCCCCCCCCCCTTTCTATGGTCTCATCTCCATTGCCTGCAGCATATACTTTTTCTCTTCAAAAAAGTACTATGCTATTAGCATGGGCGCCTCTCGCAATACTTTAAGGAGAGTTTCAACAATGCCCCACTCTTAAAAGAGGAAAAAATATCGCTCTTCAAATTCTTTTCCATCCGGAAGTGTTTAGGTGTGAAAACAAAAGAAAAGTAACAAGCCTATTACAATATTCAGAGGCAAAGATATACTGTAGCTGTTATCTTTTGCTTCCAACCATGCCTTGAACACAACATGTTACAATGTTAGCTGCAACATGTAATTTCTTATTAAAGTAATACTAACATGTTACTCACAAAGTAACTTGTTTTTTTTAATTAAAACTAATACGTTACTTTTTAAAAAGAAGTGTTCCAAGCTCTGGTTCTCACAGTTCTGTTCAGTAAAGCAGTAAATCAGGGTAGTAGTTCATTTCCTACAAAAAGCCGTGACTGGGAGGAAAAAAGGAACTGCAACTTCCACAAAAATATAAAAATAATTATTATTTGGTTCAGTCAGTTTTTTTCTCTGATCAATATCCAGCACGCCTGCAGCCTTGTAAGGAAAAAAAGCAAGATCTTTTATTAAATACTTCGTTATATAAGGTTATGTTTTTTCCTTTCTCATTCTCTCTTTTCATAGTTAAATGGTTAATCTGACAGTGCTATGCAAAGCAAATATATACTGTGTTTCAATGAAAAATGTTGCAGACATTGCATTTTTTTAAAAAAAAAATCTGAGCTGGAAGGTAGCAAAATCAAAGCAAATCTATGTTTTCTTTATCCCAGTTGTGTTGTGGATGAAATGGACTTCTCAGCTATGGAACTGGATGAAGCACTCAGGAAATTTCAAGCTCATATCCGTGTCCAAGGAGAAGCTCAAAAAGTAGAACGACTCATTGAGGCTTTTAGGTATGGCAAAAATGGTTATCAGAGGAGTAATTTTCTCATCCGCTGAGCTACAGACATCGTAAAGTTGACTGTAGTTACAAATATTATGTTCCATTTGTTTTAAATCTGCATAAATGAGTAGATTAAGGCAAATTATTGATATAAAGTTCTGTTTGCACAATATTTTATATTGTATGTATACTCTCTAGTTGCTGTGTTTCTTGTTTCTTACATTATCCGTGAAACTAAAAGCTTTCTGGTTTCAGTTTAAATATTTAAAATAAAATAAAATGTACAACCTCAGCTTGTTGAAACAAAGACATAATTATATTTTGCAGTGTACTCCGTTGACCTTTAATTAAACAGTTTAGCTTAGTCAAGCAAAGAGCATTAACTTATTAAAGCCTAGGCAGATGCACTTTATCCTTTGTGGGAATAAGGAATATATTCTTGGTTCCCATCCTTGGTAAGATGTGGGAAGAAATGTAAAAATCTAACTTTGTCAAAATAAAGAAAAATATCCTCAGAGGGTGAGATAGATCTGCTGATGTCATTGGACTGAGAAACTAGGCAAATAGTAAAGGATGCACATACTCATATAAATGATGTGTGCAGAACTCTGTAATATAGAAACATAAAGAAACCAATCATTAATCATATCTAATTTCTGTTTTGTACTAGTCTACAAGGAGCATATCTATTCAGAAGTAGGCCAGAGTTACCCCCAGAGACAGTATACTGCCCAACATCCTCTTGAGTAGCTATGTGAATGGCATAACTTGTGGAGACAAATTGTCCCAAGTTAAAACATTTACTGTACTCTAGACATTGTCATCTGCATACTGAATCACACATTTCAGTATGCAGCTGATAATTTCTTGACTTGCCACAATTTGCCTCCAAATGTTATATTGTTTTTGCTGTGCCGGCATAACTACGTAATAGGATTTGGACCACTGCTTATTAACTACTGTATGCTGTTTATCTCACTGGAAAGCTTAAGGCGTATTGCAGTGGCAGTAGACAGCATTCTGTACTGAACTTGCTTTGGCCTGAATAAATCATCACCCATATCTCTTTTCGAGCAAGTTATTAAATCTGTTTAATTGATCCTCTTTGTTCCACAGTGTAGTATAGTGACTGCATTGTTAGTTATGCGTAATTTGCAGGCTTATGGTGCTTACTTTAATGGAGTGGTCTAGCTCTACGCACAGAAATAAAAATAGCGATTTTGATACAGTACACATGGAAGCATAATACTGCATTACATGTATTGTTGTTGTTACGTGCCGTGAAGTTGCCCTCAACATATGGCAGCCCTATGAATTAGAAATCTGCAAAATGTCCTGTTCTCGACAGCCCTGCTCATTTCTTGCAAGAGCAAGCCTGCGTTAGATGCCATTATTAACTGAGTGAATGGAAAAAATGGTAAACAGTTTTAAAGTGCCAAGTGTCTGCAACATGAAGACAATTTATAAAATTGTGTTGGTTTGTTCTAAGTGGCCTATTGATTCATCGTTGAATCTGACCTGCTTTTCTCCTTTGGTGTCTTTTCTAGTCAAAGATATTGCATCTGCAATCCAGGTGTTGTGAGACAGTTCAGAAATCCTGATACCATCTTCATCCTAGCTTTTGCAATCATATTATTAAATACAGATATGTATAGTCCAAATGTGAAACCAGAACGGAAAATGAAGCTTGAAGATTTTGTCAAGAATCTGAGAGGTAGGCATGATTTAGAGGTCTGTTAGTGTCTAGAGGTTGAATATGTGATACATCTTTTAGTCTTGAATGTATTGAATCCAGTGTTGAGACATCAGGAATTATTTTAAAAACGAGAGCCTGGGGCAACATTCTTAATATGATCTTTTAATGCTTTGCCAACCAAACAGTGCATTCAGAATGGCATACTGTAAAATAATATTTTGAGCAGTGAAAATGCTGCAACATGTTTTTCTCACTGGACAATTGTTGTGTGTTGTTAAGTCACATCTGACTTTTGGTGACCCATAAGGTTTTCAAGATGTGTGGGGTACTTGAAGATTGGTTTGTCATTGCCACCACAATGAATTTCCATGGCCAAACAGGGATTTGAATTGAGGTCTTCAGAGTTCTAGTCCAACACTCTGTCCACTACATCACATTGCCTGTCGATGGTACATAGGCCTACACGTTAGTTGTAAAAGTTAGCCGTTAAGCTACAATCATGGTCACACTGAATAAGCTTGCCTGAGATTGCACTTCATCTTTTTTTTCTTTTTCTCTTTTGACTTCTGAAGAGGTTTATAGGACTCTGTGAAAAAGATCCCCTACCTTACAAAACTAAAAGAAAAACCATGTGTTTTTATCATAATAATAATCATATGCTGCCAACTCAGTTCTGATGTATACATTTCCATGGTTTTATAGGTATAAAATACTTGGAAGTAATTTACCTTTTCCCCTCTTCTGGAAACACCCTGGGATTATGCTGGTTGCCGAAGGCCACACAGCCTGGGGTTTTATGGTGCTTTGTTACTACAGTGGTTTATGGTCTCTCAGGTGGCTGCAGAATGAGATTTGGGTTCTGTGAAGATCAGTTTTGTGATTCAGATACTAGTATGAGAGCTGGTTGTTTTTAAATATTCCTGCATTGCGGATCATACATTTATAACAGACATCCGAAATTTAATGCCTACAGTCCACCTTTGACCACTTATCAAGTTACACTAAGAGAGACTTTGTTTTTCATAGAATTAGGTTTGGCATGTTGCCCTTGATCTTCAGATAATGTTTTCAAGGCTACTGTATTTTTACATGTATTCACTGGATGACATTGAGAACTAAGTTTGTAAACAAAGCAAATAGATTTTCAGTCCAAATCTGTAACAGCTCTGAAATTTAACATTCCTCTATGTGTTAGGAGACTTGTATATTTAACCAAATTTTACTGCTTGCTATTATGAGCCCTTTTAAGTCACTTCTGACTTTTGGTGACCAGTAGAACTTGCAGGCTATGTGATATGTTTAAGGAGTGGTTTATCATTACCATTCCTCAGTGAGTTTCCGTACCTGAATGCGGATTTGAACCTAGTTTTCCTGAGTCTGACATCTCATCCACTATAATCCGTTTCTCCATTTCGCCACTACTCATATATTTAGTCCCTAGATGCCTTATCATCTGTATGTACAACATGTATTCTTCCGATGGAGGCCCTATCACTGTAATTCATTTACTATACCATAATAAAGAAACTAGACATCATGTTTCAGTCTCACTTCTGGATTCCCAGAATCTTCAGGAATAGAGGACAGGACTATCCCCAGTTCAGGATAGGTGCTGTGATGCACCCAGAATCCATTATTACCTATGATAAATCTTAAGACAAGGTACCTTTATTTGGCATGGATATGCTAGCTTTCAACCCTGTACAGGTGATCCATCAGGCTTGGCACCACGGAGCTGTGGATGGTGCAGTTAAAAGATGAAAGTTTCAAAAAGCATGGCCAGCTGTGTCAGATTCCTTTGTTAAAAGAAAGTTTCAAAAGGAGGTCTGCATGTCGTTATCAGAGGTATATGGGTTTCAGATTCTATCTCTGATTGGTAGTGTTTTTAATATCTCTCCCAATCATGTTAGACAAGAGGTTGCTACTCATTCAGCTTTCACTGCCCCTTCCAGTTACATTGAAACATAGTGTTCCTTCGTGGCTGGTGTCAGTTTTCTTATTTGCAGAATTGCTTACAATTTCACATAAGGATTATAAAGACCCGAAGTTACTAACTTTGAGTAACCTTGGAGTTTTTGGACTTCAGCTCCCAGAAACCCTGAACAGCAGCAGGTGGTAAGGAAGGCTTCTGGGAACTGCAGTCCAAGAACACCTGAGTTATTCACGGTTAGGAATACTTGTCAGTATCTGCAGTTTTTCAGTGTATTTACAATTTACAAAATTTATTCTTTTTTTCTTAAATAAAATTTCAAGGCACTCTCCAATTTCAGAAGTGCCACTGAAGTAAAATCTGGGTCTTCTACCAAAGAACAGCTTTTGTGTATCAAAGAGATATACAGTATACATATACAGTATCTCAGAAATATATACTGGTCTTCTCCAATGTTTAGTGTAATAATAAAATTATTCAATTGTGCTTTTATACTGTGCTTTTTTCATTAAAAATGTTGTTTTTGCAACACAGAAGTATTTAAAGACAAAGTAAAATGTAATTAAAATGTATACAAATTTAGTGTATACGATTTTAGCTCATTGTAAGATATATACTGTGTATTTAGAGGCTGTTCTTGTACATTTATATTTTGTCATTCAGTATTTTTGTTTTGAAAATGTGAATTTATGGCTGTTCATGGTGTGCAATAGTGGGTCTTTCTTTTCTAGGTACCAATAAATAACTATTTCAAGCACAATGCTTCATTTAGTGGCAAATTAGTATATATAATCCTTAGCAGCTGATTTTCCTTTTGCAACTGATATCAATGAAATCATGTAAGGGAAATGGTATAATCTTAAACCTCCTTCAGCAGCCTGTCCCTGAATACCACCAGATTTCCTTGCTTCTTCTCAAAATATTAGTGCCTCTTCCAAGAGGTACTCAGCATCACTGATCCATACGCAAATAACCTGCAGTGTCCCTGACTTCCAGCACTCATCTGTTTTTGCCCTTATTTTATTCATTTGTTTTATTATACCTTGCCTTTCCTCACAGAGAGCTCAGAGCAGTTAACATTTTTCCTTATGCATATGTACAAGTGAGAATTGTTTTAAATACTTATGCATAGTACGTACAAGTGAGCTTATCATAAAATACTGATCAGTAGTGACTCCTGAAATGTCTGTCCATTGATTTCATTTTGGTGGCAGGAGAATATCTTTTAATTTTCGTTTTTAACCTAAAGTGTTTCCTTGCTCAATACTTCTTACACTGCTCTTTTTAGATGTTAGGTCATGCTGGTTTTATTTTGCAATGCTTTCCTCATAGTTTTGATTTAGTATTGTAAGGCACCCTGGGAATCCATTTGATGGGCAGAATATAAATTTCTGTAATAAATATAGCATATCTTTGCTTGTGCTACAACAGCAGCACCAAATATAGCCTTAGGCTGCCAGAGTGCTTACATCTGATTGAACCCTAATTGGCACAAAAATGTTATTACTAACATAGTCATAATAGGCCATGATGCATGATGGGTCCTTATATATAGTAAATTATGTTAAGCCCTCAGAATTGTGTTGTGATTTGTGTGGTAGTGGAAAAAAAACTAATGCCAACATGCAAACACCCACAGCTGCTGTAGGGGGGTGTAATTTAAGAAAACAGTGACTGAACTGGTGAAGCAGAGTGGTACAATATACCAGTTATAAGTACTGTATACAGTACTCTCATACCATGCAGAGTCATAATACTGTATATTAGTGAGCTGATAGTCTTGTTCAAGTTGCCACTGTATGAAATCTGGTTTCTGCAGGCCTTAAGCTGAACATAAGACAGTAGAGATATACGTTAATGTCCAAGATTCCGTTCCAATGGTATAGATATATTTTATAAACAATCAGTAATTAATAAATAGTAATATTTATTAATTATCACGGGACGTGGGTGGCGCTGCGGGCTAAATCGCAGAAGCCTCTGTGCTGCAGGGTCGGAAGACCAGCAGTCATAAGATCGAATCCATGCAATGGAATGAGCTCCCGTCGCTTTGTCCCACCTCCTCGCCAATCTAGCAGTTCAAAAGCATGCAAATACGAGTAGATAAATAGGTACTACCTCGGTGGGAAGGTAAAAAGGGGTTCCCTAATCACGCTGGCCATGTGACAACGGAAACTGTCTTTGGACAAGCGCTGGCTCTATGGCTTGAAAACGAGATGAGCACCGCCCCCTAGAGTCAGACACGACTGGACTAAGAATGTTAAGGGGAACCTTTACCTTTTTAATAAATACTTTAAAACTCTTAAAAAATCTACTTTGAATATTACAAGTGAGCTTAAGAATAAGTTCATTTATATTTCAAATAAAGAACAGGCACATAAAAGTCTGAACTTACTGTCTGAACCTTGTGCTCATAGACCTGGGTCTGAGTGTTCTATTATCAGGTTGCTGAATAGAGAGGAGGTTGGATAGACTATGGTAACGGAGTAATAAAGATATGAAAACATTCTAAGTGACTGGAACTCATCTGAGCAAGAGTTGGAAGTTCATGTCCAGGATTGATGGATTTCTAATCCTGTTTACAGTGTTATCTTTTATGCATTTTTCTTATCAGTGGTAACTAATCATGTTGGCTATATTGCACCTCCAAGTTCAAAGCCAGTATGTTTAAAATTATTGTGCTTGATGTCAAACCCACTTTCACAGTAGAAAGTAGCATTAAATGGAAACCTAGCACAGGGATGGGCAAGTTCAGCAAGTCAGAGGGTGCATTTCAGCCCCAGAGACCTTTGCAGGCCTTTGAGATCGTTTCTATGTTCCTGAATTTTGGCAGCAAACTGCAAGCAGCCATCAACAGGCATTGCTGATTTTGATAGCAGATTAATATTTAGTTAGTCTTGAGTTCCTCTCCCCCTCCTTTTTTTTCTGTAGCTCCTTTTCTGAAAGTGAATGTTTTTTCTGTCTGTTTTCTGTTATGGAGAAAGGTATATTCAGAATATACATTATTATTAACTTTACTATAATATTAGTAAAGTTAGGGGACGTGGTGGCGCTGTGGGCTAAACCGCAGAAGCCTGTGCTGCAGCGTCAGAAGACCAAGCAGTTGTAAGATCAAATTCACATGACAGAGTGAGCGCCCGTCACTTGTCCCAGCTCCCGCCAACCTAGCAGTTCGAAAGTATGCAAATGCAAGTAGATAAATAGGGACCACCTCGGTGGGAAGGTAACAGCGTTCCGTGTCTAAGTCGCACTGGCCATGTGACCACGGAAGATTGTCTTCAGACAAAATGCTGGCTCTATGGCTTGGAAACGGGGATGAGCACCGCCCCCTAAAGTCGAACACGACTGGACAAAAATTGTCAAGGAGAACCTTTACCTTTACTTTACTTACTATAATATTGGTATTGGTGGTTTATACTGTTTTCAGCTTTAACCTTTTGCCCGCTTCTCATCAACTAGTAAAATGTAAGAAGTGTTACACTTCTTCTATTTCAGTGGGTTCTATTTCTGTTTGTAACAAAAGTAAAAACATTATGAGTAAAATCAATTTTATAAATATGTAATTATTGTTGGAATAAACAATATTTTAAAATGTCGTACATGAACCATGGGATTTGTATAAGTAAAATATGCACAATACATTGTACACTTCTAAAGTAACAAGATTATTTTCAGTCTGTAAATACTGATTCATGACAGGCAGAATCTAAGGCTTTAATAGGAATATTAGCGATAGAGACAGTGATAATATAGTACCTTCCTCAGAACTGTTATCCTGTGAAGTGAGCTATGTCTTTTGCCCTTCAAGAGAAGGACATTATCATCAAGCTTTAAGGGTGCAACTCTCTGTGAGCTCATAATCATTAGTTTGGGATTTTGCAGGTGTAGATGATGGGGAAGATATCCCACGGGAGATGCTTATTGGGATTTATGAGAGAATCCGCAAGCGGGAACTCAAGACAAATGAAGATCATGTGTCACAAGTCCAAAAGGTTGAAAAACTCATAGTAGGAAAGAAACCGGTAAGTTGGGTGAAACTTTATTCAATTTAAAATGATTTATTTCGGAGTTGCCAAGAAAAGGACACTTTCTTAGGTTTGTTTTTTTGTAACAGAAAATCATTCAAACCCTAAAGGGTGGTATTTCTTTTCTCTCTGATAGATACAAAAATCGCAGTATTTGATAGCTATTAAAACCTAAAATTGAGCTAGGTAGCTCCTTTATGTCCTGCTGCAGAAATCAAGAAACAGATTCTTGTTGATGGCATTTCAAGGAAATATACTGATTCCTAAATTTTGCAAATAAATTGTACCCTGTAGTAGAACTGAACTGGATTTAAAAGACCTTATTTCATGGTTATTGAAAGGTATCTTCAGGAAAAGGAAGCAGTCAAACTGAAATATTTGATTAAACAGGGAGGGAATTTTGTGGATTGGTTTCAGTTTACAGCTGAGCCAATACCTTTGTTAGAATGAACAACTAACTATGCATACCAAGATGAAGAGACAATGCTGGACTGTTTTGTTTTCAGAAACAAAAATATGGGTAATTACTCAGACATCTGAACTTTAAATAGTAATCTATTGTCTATCACTTTGAGAACCCTGATAGGCAGGAAATGGATAAAGAATTAATTTCAATAAATTAAATAAATAAGATTGAGATCAAATTTTGGATGGAATATTATTAATTTTTTAAAAAAATTCAGCAGGCAAATTCGGAATATTTGAAGTTTTTAATTAATAAAATACTTGTAAATATTATAAGACACAGTAATTTACTAACACATTTTAGAACCTACTCTGAAAATGAAGTAAGTGAATTTATAATACTTCTTTTACCCAAGTGCCTCTGTGCGATGATGTCCACCAAAAGTCTACTGTGCATTGTTGGAAAGTATTGCCACCACTAGCAAGACCTGCAAGCTAAACTCAAAAATCCCCTTTAGCAGCCCACATTTATGCTGAGAACTTTGATGATACATCAATTATCCAATTATCCTTTGCTATTGGGTTGTCTATCTAGGACTGGCAGGAGTTGTCATTAAATAATATCTGCAACATGACAGTTCCCCACCTCTGATCTGGATGATGTTGCCTCAGTAGTTCACACAGTGGATGTGGCCAAAGCACTGTTGGGTCAGAATTTATGTGATCATTTTTTACTATTGGTGCCCAAAGATCTCAGGAGATGCTTGTGGAAGTATGGTCAACTACTTGTTTGCTCACTCCTTGCCTATCCCAACTTAGAAGGTTTAAGAAGCAGTTTAACAGGCTGGGTCCAGGAGGTAGGTAATAAAAAGCTAATTATGTGTCAGCCTGGCCTCAGCTATCTCTAAACAGTCAAAGGCTGTTCCTAAAAAAAAGGTTCCTGCCCATTATATAGAAAACTGTTTCCTGCTCTCAACCAGCTTATGGCAAAAGGCATATTTTGGTGGTTGCTGTTAGCTGCACTCATTTTATATTATACAGATTGATTTAAATCTATTTAATCTATTTTATAATCTGATTTTGGGAGGAAAGGCCTTCCTTAGTAGTGGTGCCCCATTTATGATATGGTCTTTCCCAGGGGTTTGCTGACATTTAATATTATTTCATATACTAGACAGGAATTCAGAATTGCATAAATGCAGTGATTTAAGATACTTTTGCTCCTCCTTTCATTAAGTTATCGTGACAAGGAAAGTGTGTGTAGAACATGTAGAGGTGTGTTATCTGATCATTTAGCCTGATGTGGTCTGAGTATTTCAGTTAGCGTTAATGCCTGAATAGGTCTTTTGCATTTCATGGCATCTTTTAACTGGAGAGATCAAGGACTGAATATGGGATGTTCAGTGTGCAGAGTACATGCTTTACTTAGCCAGATGAGCCCCATTGAATGCTTTAGAGCAGCCATTCTCAGTGGGTGCCATATGCCTCCCTTAGGGGCCCTAGCACATTTGAAGGGGGCTACAGACTGGAAACTATTCTTCACACACGACCTTATAAGGTTCGTTATGTGACTTATGCAATCTTAATTTAGCCTATATTTCTTTTATATTGTGTTTACGGCCATGACCAAAAAAAAAAATTGATTTCAGATCTTTGTCTTCTTACCATTATTCTCACAAAGCAAACTGGTTCCACCTCCTTTATATGACTTTTCCCTACCCTGTTGGCCTATTTGAATTGTCAGAATTTGATACGCAGAAAGAAGTCCTGTTAGAACATGGCTTGTGATTGGAGTGTGTGCGATACCTCCCACTGAAATTTTGGATTGAGATACCTCACCATCCCAGTCCACAATTTGCCTCAGATCCTGCTACACCTCTGGAATAGAGCACACATTAGAATCCCAAAACAAGTGGGGAGACACTACGCATACTGTTCTGCACACACTTCTGTATGTCTAGTATTAGTGCATATATGGGGTAAGATGGGAAATAAACTGTTTAGAAACATGGTTGTTGTGGGTTTTTCGGGCTCTTTGGCCATGTTCTGAAAGTTGTTCTTCCTGATGTTTCTCCACTCTCTGTGGCCGGCATCTTCAGAGGACTGAAATAGGAACAGACAGACCATGGACAGAGAAGATGCCAGCCACAGAGACCGGTGAAACGTCAGGAAGAACAACCTTCAGAACATGGCCAAAGAGCCAGAAAAACCCACAACAACCATGAGCTCCCCGCCATGAAAGCCTTCAAGAATACATTGTTTAGAAACAGTTGCTCTTTCAAGATGATGATGGGATCACAGTTGCTTTTCTGCATGCCTGTGCAGTGCTGCACTCCTCCTGCACAACTCAACATCAAAAAAACTAAGATCATGGCCACTGGTCCCATCACCTCCTGGGAAATAGAAGGGGAAGATATGGAGGCAGTGTCAAATTTTATCTTCCTGGGCTCCATGATCACTGCAGATGGAGACAGCAGCCCTGAAATTAAAAGGCGCCTTCTTCTTGGGAGGAAAGCGATGACAAATCTGGACCGCATCTTGAAAAGCAGAGACATCACCTTGCCAACAAAAGTCCGAATAGTCAAAGCTGTGGTTTTTCCTGTCATGATGTATGTAAGTGAGAGCTGGACCATAAAGAAAGCAGACCGCCGAAGAATTGATGCCTTTGAATTGTGGTGCTGGAGGAGGCTCTTGAGAGTCCCCTGGACTGCAAGGAGAACAAACCTATCAGTTCTAAAGGAAATCAACCCTGAGTGCTCACTGGAAGGACAGATCCTGAAGCTGAGGCTCCAGTACTTTGGCCATCTAATGAGAAGAAAAGACTCCCTGGAAAAGACCCTGATGTTGGGAAAGTGTGATGGCAAGAGGAGAAGGGGACGACCGAGGATGAGATGGCTGGACAGTGTCTGCGAAGCAACCAACATGAACCTGACACAACTCCGGGAGGCAGTAGAAGACAGGAGGGCCTGGCGGGCTCTGGTCCATGGGGTCACGAAGAGTCGGACACGACTAAACGACTAAACACAAGTTTAAAATAGCTTTCCATGCCAAAAATTGTCAGATGAACCATATATGACAGATTAAATGTGATTTTGAAGCATATGCTATATGAATTAATGAATGAATGAATGTATTATGGTCAAAGACCGACACCAAATAAGTTGAACAATACAAAACAACACAAAGTATGCAACATACATTATAAAGAGCAATACATCCCAAGGTGCATACAATTCATGTTAGAATTTATACTAGAATTGTCCAAAATTGGGGAGGGAGGTTCACTATGTTATCGAGTCGCTGTGGCAGGCTACAGCTGCTGCACAAAATTTGTCTACTTGATTAGTATATGGCAGTCAAGGCAGAGATTCGAAAGTTGGAGTGCTAGAGAGAATAGGAAAGAGTTAAAAAGTATAGATAATAAATAAATAATCAAATAATATTTTAAAGTGAATAAAAACACATACAAAACAATGTGTAATCAAATGCTATTTAATGAATGATCCTAAACATCTGTGATTTACATCTTTGATTTACATAACAACTAGAAGATCAATAAATCTGTTGTATTAGCAGCACGTGTCTAAGATACATCTAGTTGGTATAGTATGGATGAGATCAACTGGTTGGTTGGTGGCAGCGTGAAGAGAGGAAACGCATCCAGAGGGTGGACTTGTATTTAGGGAAAATAAACAAAGGACACTGGGTGGATGCCACTGCATATCAACCTCCTCCTTCCCCCCCCTGCAAATAAAAAATTGAGTCTTTCCTGACCCCCTGCAGGGATTTTTTTTAGCGCTTTAAGTCTGTCTAAGATTAATTAACTGGCTTGTGAGAGACATCCCAGAATCCACAATTTAAAAAGCTCTAGGCCTCAGCTACTTTTGAGGCCCCCTTAGCCACAATTTTTTTTGACCTTTTATTTAAATCTAATATCAAAATTCATCCTTTACCGCTGTCTTCTCTTACAGCCAACCTATAAGATGGTACACAATATGAGTCTTGGGGCCAGCAATTCTGTCTTTCCCTCTCTCAGCCTGACGTACAAGATGGTTGTGACAATAAAGGGGGTGGGGAGAGCCAGCCACACCACTGTTTGAAGGAAAAGTGGAATAGAAATCGCATAAAATAATACCTGTGGACCCAAGGTTGGGAACCACTGGGCTAAAGAACCAGGGTGGGATTGAAGGTCCCAAAGAAATTGGTTGCCATGGGTGGGGATGGTGGTGAATCTCATCACTGGTATGTGTGTAACCTGGAAAGGAATCTGCCCCAGGAGTCTGCCTAGGCCAGAGGGGAAACCTTTGCAGGACAGATTAAACTCAGGCCAAGGTAATTGGTTCCATAGTTGTTCTGCTCTACTGATTAAGAAGTTTTTTCTAATATTCAGCTAAAACTGGCTTCCTCTGGTAGGCATCCTTCAGTCTCAAGAGGCTATGGTAACATGCTCTGAATAGAGGACTTGGAACAGCATCTAGTGTGGCTGAGAAGGCCAGTTCGAGTGTGACCATCCCTTCCACACTGAAGACAAATCCAATCTGTCCCCTGTCCAGCTCCCTGATTTTGCTGCTTTTGTGACTTCCTCTTTGCCTCGGCCTGCTGGACAAGGGTCTCTTCAAATTGGGAGAGCCCATGATGTAACGCCTGCCTCCAGGCTGAACACTCAGAGGTCAAGTTTTCCCATCTGTTGAGGTCCATCCCTAAGGCCTTCAGATCCAGCAGCAGATATCCGTGTATCGCAGCTGTGTTCTCCCTCTAGGGTGCTTTCCCTGCACTAATTCTCCATACAGGAGATCTTTCGGAATTCATCTGTCAGCCATTCTCACAACATGCCTGAACCAACGCAGACATCACTGTTACATACTAAAAATTCCAGCTTGTTCTAGGACTATTCTATTTGGAACTTTGTCCTGCCAGGTGATACCAAAAATATGTCGGAGACAATGCCTATGGAACATGTTCAACTTCCTCTCCTGCCATGCACAAAGGGTCCAGGACTCACTGCAGTACAGGAGTGCACTCACGACATAAGCTCTATTGACCTGGATCTTGGTATATGCCGTCAGCTTCTTATTAAGCCATACTCTGTTTGTGAGTCTAGAGACTCACATGGTAGCTGCTTTGCCAGTTCGGTTATCCAGCTCAACATCTAGGGAGAGAGTGTCAGAGATTGTTGAGCCAAGGTACACAAAGTCATGAACAACCTCCAATTCGTTTATGGAGTTGGTAATAGAGGGAGGTGAATCCATGCCCTGGCCCATGACTTGCGTTTTCTTCAGGCTGATTGTTAATCTAAAGCCTTGGCAGGTGTTGCTACAACGATTCATGAGTTGTTGGAGCTCCTCAGCAGAATGGGCAACAACAGCTGCATCATCGGCAAAGAGGAAGTCCCGCGTGCATTTCAGCTGGACTTGGGTCTTCGCTCTCAGTCTAGAGAGATTAAAGAGCTTTCCATCTGATCTAGTCTGGAGATAGACACCTTCTGTTGCAGTTCCAAAAGCATGCTTCAGCATGACAACAATATATATATATATATAAATCTCAAACAGAATCGGGCGACGACACAGTTCTGTTTCATTCCATTTCGGATGTCAAAGGGATCTGATGCTGAGCCATCAAAAACTACAGTGCCCTTTATTTCCTCATGAAAGTACCTGATGATGTTAAGGAGTTGAGGTGGACATCCAGTCTTGGGAAGTATTTTTAAAGGGCCGTCCCTCTTAACCAAATCAAAGGCCTTTGTAAGATCTATGAAGGCCACAAAGAGTGGCTATCATTCCCTACATTTGTCCTGCAACTGTCTGAGGGAAAATACCATGTCAGTGGTGGATCTATTAAGTACAGAACAGATTAGGGAAACTGATCTGCAGGATCTCAATACTGATTGAGATATTATCAGATACTGACCAAGAAAACTTCATTGTACTGTATTCTGCTTATACCATATGTCATATTCTGAAACCACTAAGTGTTTACTGTTCTAAGACACAGAATGTACATTGAATCCTTAATACAGAACACATTTTGAATCATGCCAGGCTATAGTAGTCATCACAAGGATTGCATACAAGCCGTTCACAACAACAAAAACCTTCACAAAGTAATTAAAGAGATTAGCACTAGTCAGAAAGCGTAACAGTAAAATAAGGTAAATTTCAAAATGATACAAAGAAAAGTGAATAAAAACATTGCATTAAAATGTTTTGATCTGCACCACTATGAATATTTTTCTACTTCACTGTTGTGAAAAAGACTTGACCCAAATAATACAGGGCACTTTTTAAAATTATTATTAACTTGAGTCAGCATTTTACTTTACCTTTTATCCCACAGGTTCTCTCTCTCCCACATCGGAGACTTGTTTGCTACTGCAGACTCTTTGAAGTTCCAGATCCAAATAAACCGCAGAAGCTTGGATTACACCAGCGAGAAATATTTTTATTTAATGATCTCCTTGTGGTATGTACTTGACAGGCATATTTTTATAGTACACTACAGTGATGGAGAGACTCCAGGCAGGGAGTTACCTTATCCAGCTGGGTATGCTATGTATGCAGAAAGTGGTTTCTCTGTGTATATACCTAGGTGGATGGTGAACTGCATATAAAACTATAGTTGTTGACAAAGTTCCTGATTTTGACACACAGCAAGCTAGGACTACAACCACAGATCCTGCTTTTTAAAATTCTGAGTATTTCCTTAAGAGTTGTGTTCTTGGTAAAATATGTGAATTGTGTAGGCACTAAAACTTCCTACACATACACAGATACAATTACTAAGGTCATTACTTTTTTTCACAGAAGGACAATTTGAGACTTTCAGGAAAGTTAGGAAAAAAATTCTCATTTTGAGTGAGATGAAGATGGTGATCTTTCTTGTAGTAGAATGAACCTTGCTACCAGTTCAGGCTTAAGTTGGAATGAACAATGCTGCCATGTGCAGCAGCCACCTAATGGAATTCTTCCTTGATAATGGCCCAGTCTGATTGTTGCTGTGCATTTTGGGTGTTAAAAATGGAAGAAGAAGGAAAAGACATCTGGACTTAAGAGTGGAATATTTCATGCTCGCTTATCTCTTATTATGCATTTATGGGGAGGAATTGTTTTTGAGATGTATATTCATCTGACATTAAAAGTATTTATTGTGTATAAATTGCATTGGCTAAACTTCTGTTAATTTATGCAGTTGCTTAAAGGCAGTCATGCAAGCGATGCAAGCATTTTTTTTTCCTAGCTGGCTGTTGCATGCCAGATCTTCTGACGGCAAACTCCACCATGCAGCTCACAACCAACTCCTCAAAACGCCAAAAATATTTCAATGAATGCCCTTATAACATGTGGAAACCTTCAATTTTATTTTGGCCACCGTTTGAAGCCTAAGTAATATTGCAACCAGTTACAGGAAATACTTTGATTTTTTTTCCTTTTGATATTTCTAGGTTACCAAGATTTTTCAAAAGAAGAAGAATTCAGTCACGTACAGTTTTCGACAGTCTTTTTCCCTTTATGGAATGCAGGTCCTCCTTTTTGAGAATCAGTGTAAGTCTGTTTTTAGTTCTTCGTAAGATTTGGGAATAAATTGCTGCAAACCATTTCTTAATAATTCTGCTGCAAAGGAGCATCAGGTGAACGGTTGAGCCTCGGTTATTTGGTTTGTTTTGAAAGTGATGACCTAGCTTATCATGAGCCTTAGGTGGTGGTTCATATCAATAGAAAATGTGATAAATACGAGGTCTCAACCTCCAGCTGCTCACAGCCCACAGTGTAAAAGTGTTGTTCGATTTGCTCTCAGTTCTGAAACTGAACCTTTGAAGTTATAGCCTATAATGATGTCTCCATAAGGTAAGTGACAATACAGTTAAAAAAATCACTGAGAAGGAAGACAACTAAACCAAATTACATTTTACAGTTTTAAGCACTGTATATCTTAGCATAATGATCTCTTTGAAAGAATTCAGTGTATGTCACATACAAGCCATCTGGAGGAAAAGGAATTTGATTTAACACAGTCTGTGACACTCATATTCAAATAGATTTCTACCTCATCTACGGTTTTCATAAATAAATGCAGGGCCATTACTGTGAAATTGGCAAGCCACAAGGGTCCAAGCACGGCATATCTGCCTCTTGCAGCTGCCATGTTCTTCTTGAGTAATAAAATTCATCCTATATATTCTGAGAACTGTGCAAGGATAGCAAATTAAAGTAAAGGTGGCAAAATGCATTCAGTTTAGAAATTGGCGTGGTGATAAAAATGATTGACAATAGAGAACAGATGAAAAGAGTAAACTATGTTAGGACCAGGAAAGGAAATAAGATATTTATCTCTGTCACATTTGTAGCTCCTGAACGTTAAAAAAAAATACTTTTATATATTCTGGAACAACCTCTATTAAAAATATGAAGTTTGGCAGTTTCCTTTCATGAGGGATGAAGTAGCAACAAGAAGGCATTCATTATGCTAAATCCGAAGTGTTCTAAATTATGTGAACTTTTTTTTACTGGGTCTACCCCTCTGATCGCCACTTAGCTGCTCTACCCTTCTTTGTTCTGAGATGGGGAAACTAGTCTGGTCGTGGTTCCAGGGAGTTTAATTCAAAAAGGTACGCTGACACCATCCCATTTACCATTTACCAAAAATCCAGTAGCAAGTGAGGCAAGACACTGCATTTGGTACCCAGACTTCCTCTGTGCCCCAAATCCAACCCACAACTGGAAAGGATTTTATGTATTTTATTAAAAGAGAAAAAAGATAGAAGAAAGCAGAAATGGTAAAAGTTAAAATTCCACTCACTCAAAATGGATTTCTCGGTATCATGAAACAAGAATACAGTGTAGAGACAATTTCAAAGGAGATTCACGCTGGAAAATAAGCAATTCTCACGTAGCTTATTCCATACTTACACCTAAGCAGAGTAGGCATCTGCTGCACAGCTAGTCAACTCAAGAGTAAGATAAGTTGTGGAGAGACAGTTTCCTCCCTTGAGTGGAGGTCAAGACTCCAAGATTAGCATAGTAAGATCCCTCTTTATACAAGTTAATGAGCCATTTTTTTAATAGGATGCCACTAACAACTTAATTAATTTCCATCCTTTATAATCTCCTTTCACCTTTTATCTGGACAATCGTTTCCTCAATAGGAACTTCATAAGTGATCTGTAGAAAACAATGTTTACTTTATATTCACGAAGGCTTTCACGGACGGGATCTAATGGTTTTTCTGGGTTTTTTGAGCTCTTTGGCCGTGTTCTGAAGGTTGTTCTTCCTGACGTTTCGCCCGTCTCTGTGGCCGGCATCTTCAGAGGATGCCGGCCACAGAGACTGAAGAAACATCAGGAAGAATAACCTTCAGAACACGGCCAAAGAGCCTGAAAAACCCAGAACAACCAATGTTTACTTTGCTGGTTGACACCATCCCTGAAGGTTGGAGCCCTATAGACTAGCATGGTACAAAGTGTGAAGGTCTGCTGTTCAAAAGAAAAATCTGCCTTGCACATTTAACCAGTAAGCACAAAGGTGCTTTTGTGTATGTAGGCCTCTCTGGTCCCCTGCCATGTTATTTGAATATTCTTAGGTTTAAATGTCTGTGCTAAATACTGCAGAGTTGCCAAGCTGACTTCTTTTTGTCTGTCCAGCTATTATGACCACCCAATGGCCCTGTGCCGTTTCTACTTTATAGAGATGAATGTTCCCATCTACACAGAAAGCAGGATTAGCCAGATTTTGCATCTGATGCATCCTCATTAACACAGCTCCACGAACAGAAGCTATCTGAATTCCATATTTTTCATAATAAAGCATGCTGCTTCTATACTGCCCCATAGTGCTTAAAGCACTCTCTGGGCAATTTATAATTTAATTATCCAGGCTATACATTGCCCCCAACCCCAGCAAGCTGAAACTCAATTTACTAACCTCAGAGGGATGGAAGTCTGCATGAACCTTAAGCTGTCTACCTGTGATTGAACCTGAGTCATAAGCAGAGTTTTGGCTGCAGTACTGCTGTTTAAGCACTGTGCTGTGAGGCTTATTTTTATAACATGGGAGAATCTGGGAAAGGCATGAACTGTACTTACTCAGCTGATGTGGTCTAAGTGGTCGTTATAAAAAGATCTGTTGTTTGATTGATAACCAGAAATGTTAGTAATTGCTTATGTTGAACAATACATTTTTTTTGCTTGAAAGCAGAGTACAAACATTGGATGTCCTTGAACCTTAAAAAAAAAACCACACAACTGGATTGATTCTGGTGATCTAACAATAAGATCACAAGGTGTAAAAATGCTTTGTTATGAAATTTAGTTTTGTTCAGAAGATTTTTTTGTTTTTATTGTTCTAACTGCATTATGATCTGTACACTGCCTTGAAATTCTAAAAAGATGAAAGGTGGTATGAAAGGGTTTTAAAATTAATTTAAAGGATAATATTTTATGATTCATGGAATTCCTCATTTTCAGGATGTATTTGGTAGTTCAGAAAACTCTTGTCTTTTTGAAGCCCCTGTTTATGAGCAGATTGATTTGATTTAAATCAAACTAAAATCACCAAAATCCCACCCCCATTCAATGGGCTACTATAGTTGTGACTTACTACGTAAACTAACAGATTTAGAGTCACTCACGGATATAGAGTCACTGAGACTTGATGTCAACATTTGTGTAGGTTCTATTTATTCAGTGGGTCTATTTTAGCTGGGACTCACATTTGGATTTAGCATGGACTGTCTATCATCTTCTACTTAAATGTCAGAAGACCTGCAGATTGTTTCAGATTTACTGCACTAGATATTAAGGTCCTAGCTCTCTAGAATCATATGCAATCTAAAAGCCCTTTGCTTATTCACTTTAACTGGGTTTTAATTGACTACCTTGACAATAATCATAATCATTCTCATTATAAAACAGCATTTTATATACAGATATCAATCCTGCTTTAATATGTGACTCACAGGATAGTTGCCATTAAAGATATCCATACCGTTGGAGTCAAGATATAACATCTACTCCACTTTAACAAATATATATTTTGCAATTAAATAGAGTGGAACAGGAGTCATTAGGTGGATGTTCCTTTCAATAACTGCTGATTTTCTATTTTCATTATGAGAATGCCAGTTGTGCCTTTGTATTAGTATATCTTGGTGCAGTTTAAATATTTTGCACCAGCCAGAAACTATTAGTTTGCAAAAAGCTTCCTCAATTACCATTCAAAACAACAACAAAACTTCTTCAGTTCTTAACTCAAATCTAAGTACTTAAGTCAAGTCAATATTTTCCTATGAGAGCGGTTCTTAAGTCAAAATGTTCTTAACTCAAGTCGTTCTTAAGTCAAGACCCCACTGTATTTTCATTATGAGAATGGCAGTTGTGCCTTTGTATTAGTATATCTTGGTGCAGTTTAAATATTTTGCACCAGCCAGAAACTATTAGTTTGCAAAAAGCTTCCTCAATTACCATTCAAAACAACAACAAAACTTCTTTCATTCCCTCTGCCAGAAACATGTGCCTCTTGATTCCTCTATGGGAATTACTTTAATTAGTAGAACTACACCAGAAGATCCTGCCAATAGTATTAATTTTTATTTAGTACTGAGCCAATTCAAAATGACTGGAATTGAGGGTGAAAAAAGTTCACAATTCCCAGCCATCAACAAACTTTAGATGGCAACGCCATTTACAAAACCAGCTGGCTCATGCAGGTTCTTGGGTGTGTGGCATCACAAGACTTTGACAGGGCTGTCAAAGAGAACCAACTGGAATTCATCCTCAATCTTTTTGTGAGTAGGGTGCAAGAGAAGTCGAGAACTGTCCTCTTCTGGTGATGGGTGTGAAGATAAGTGAGTAGAAAACAGAGTGCAAATTTGGCATGGGAATCAGAACTGGACAGAGGGTTACTTGGCAAGTTTTGGGACTTCCAGGGAAGGAATTCCTTACAGATAACAGCAGCAGGGGTTGAGCATGTGCACCAGGCAGATGGGGTTACAGGCCCTAAGGTGCCTCCAAGTGGCTGTCTAGACCAGTGGTTCTTAACGTGGGCAATAATGACCCCCAGGGGGCGATTTCATTTTTCAGGGGGGCAGTAGAATGAAAAGGCGTGAAGTGGGGGCGAAAGAACAGAAGGACGGTAGGGGGGCGCTGGAGCGAGCCAAACCTGTGAAGGCGACTGCAGCCACAGTGCTGGCAGTAGATCCAGTGCTGCTGCTGCCGCCAGATGATCCAGCTCTTTTTACCTGCCACATCTCCTTTAGGGGAGCACTGAGTGTGGACTGGGTGAAAGGAAAGGGTCTCTTGGGTCCTCATCCTTGCCCCGTGAAGCGCTGCCTCGCACCCGGGTGGGGAGGGAGACTAGGTAGGTAAGTAGGTAGGCAGGTAGGTAGGTAGGTAGGTAAGATATCATCACCTCAGGGAGGGGGGCAATGATAACTTCCTCAATGGCTCAAGGGGGCGTTTCTTTCAAAATGGTTAAGAACCACTGGTCTAGACTCTAGGACATTACTCAGAATTCAATATATAGATTCTTCTGCTCTTTCCCTTCAAGGGTAGGATCTCTGTGTCATAAATATTTATGCAGTAAATTGTGGCCATCTCTTTAACTTGCACCTTGCATGTTACTCATCCTACTCAATGTAACTGTCAATTTGAAAATGATAATACTCCTTTATGTGGCTCACAGCTGCCTTTTCCAGTCATTCCCTCCACCAGGAATTCCCTGCATTATACAGTGATGTACTGTTGCTAATATGAATGTTATATGTATTGTCCCACCCAATTAATGGTAGAGCCACTATTCAGGGTGACAGACAAATCAGAATAATACAAACAGCGCCAGGAACACCCACAAAAATAGATAAACATGAGACGTAATAACAAAATATAAAATACCTAGGAAAAAATAGACCTTAAAATATTAAATACAGTAAAGGCTGCAAAAACAGGACAGGTATATAAACAAGTGCTGGAAAAGCCCCATTGGTAAGCAAGATTACTTCGGGATAAGGCCCGGTTTCCAGTGGCAGATATTTGGTCCTCTCTTGGGGTCGCTACGCGCAACATCCCAGTGAATGAGGTATGGGGTTGGACAGGTAGACATTTTGAGGTAACAGTGCTCAGACATTTAGTAAGGCCTTAAACTGTTAAAAGAGTTTAAATGTTAACATAAGCACTTTGAACTTGGCCTGGAAGCATATAAGCCAGTGATGGCGTACCTATGGCACACGTGCCACAGCTGGCACGCAAAGCTCTCTCTGTGGGCACGCGAGCCATAAGTCGCCAAATCACTACTCCCCCCTCTCCTCCCCGCAGCCAAACCTGAGCAGGCGGCTGCGACCACGGTGCAGGGCAGCTGGTGCTACCGGCAGATCTGGAGTGGTGTCTCAAGGCACCTCCATGCCTGGGATTCTCCCTTCCGCCGCCACGTCCAGTTGCGCCGCCCCCTGTTTTTTTCCCCCATTTTGGGCAAGCGAGCCCCAAAAGGTTCACCACCACTGGGCTTGGCAGTCAGTGCAGATGCTCCAAGATAGGTGACATCTGAAGAAATGTTCCATGTGATGTTTCATTTGTGATACTGGAGAGAAAGCATCAATATGAAAATAGAAACTTTTGATTTACTAAGATGCATCTTTTTCACAGCTGGAGATATAAGTAGGGGAAAGAAAACACTGAGGTGAAATTAATACAGATGTTTCACATTTATTATCTCCTAGATTATCCCAATGGTATACGGCTCACATCAGCAGTTCCAGGAGCAGATATAAAAGTTCTTATAAATTTCAATGCACCAAATCCCCAGGACAGAAAGAAATTTACTGATGACCTGAGGGAGTCTATCGCAGAGGTGCAAGAAATGGAAAAGCACAGAATAGAATGTAAGTACAAAGATACGTATAGTAGAGTGTTTAAATTTGTGTTGGTAAATAGAATTCAAACTACATATAATTTCTTTATCACATTAAAATCAGTTCAAGAGCATGATTTAATTCAGGATAAAAATTGCATTTCTGGGTAGCATAGTATTTTATTAGGTGGCAATGTATTGCATTCTTCTTCAAAAGGTTATGTTGGTCTGACAGCATGCATTTCAGTCTGTGCATCTGAGAGCACTTTTATAATCCCAGAAAGTACTGGCTTTGAGGTGCCAAAGAGTACTATGTGGGAATCCCTGTTGCTAGGAGGGGAAGAGAAGGAAAGAAGGAAGACTCTCTAATAGTAAACAGAATGGGGATAGCTCTACTGTCATGGAGCATTTTGCACAAGGGACCACTTGCACTGTGTAGCCAAAATCCTGTTGCTTAGTGTAAGCCGAACTGGAACTTTTGATCTGTTCCTCCCTGGTGAACATAGAGTCCCCACTGTGATTCTGAGGGAGTACACATGTATGCACCAAGCCAGCACACATACGTAACGCCAAGAAATGCATGAGGGACAGTTCGTTTGACAGGGAAGAATGGACCCAAAGTTATGAGTTCGCTTACACCAAGCGACAGGATCTTGGTCAATATGTGACACATGTGCTGGGCTGCAGCACTTTTTGCAAATATGGCATTCATTCAGAACAGTCCATGTATCAATTTTTAAAAGCATTCCCTTTAGTGTCATTAAAACTATTCACAAGCAAACTGAAGAAATTCCATACATTTCATAAAGACCCAATAGGTAGCATGGAATCTTATAGAAGACAAACAACATTGACTCATCATATAATTTGCTTTTGACCATTCCTTTTTTCCCCAGCTGAACTAGAGAAACAGAAAGGTGTAGTACGCCCAAGCATGTCTCAGTGCTCTAGTCTGAAGAAAGAGTCCGGCAATGGGACACTGAACCGAGCCTGCCTTGATGATAGTTATGCCACTGGAGAGGGGCTTAAAAGGAGTGCCCTTAGCAGCTCTCTTAGAGACCTTTCTGAAGCAGGTACACTTCACCTTTTTACTATTTGATGAAAATATGCATTGGAGCTTCATATACGAAGCACATATACTTGTCAGAAGAATGCATTAATGAATATGAAGTTTTAAAAAGTTCTAAGGAAGTTAAATGTGTGGATTTCATATTGTTAGTAGTTCGTTTTTATATCTATTTGTTTTCCTCTGCTATAGTCAAACATTCCATTTGAAAATATTAAACTGTTATAGCTTTCTATATATACTTTTAAAGGAGAAAGAAGACAGAGGAAAAGTGTAAGTTTATGCTAAAGTAATGATTAAGCAATACTAAGTATAATTCTAGGAGTAATCTGTTTAGTTCTGCTTCCTTTTTTCATTATATCTCCCTGCCCCCCATGTCATTAGGAAAAAGAACCTCACCAAAATCATTGTGTATTGGCTGCTTCTTGTGCATTTTGTGCTTTTGTGTATCTGTGTAGTATATTGATGAATGAAATTGAGTGAAGCCCTGCTAAATTCTACCTAGAGAAACATAAATCAGACATCTCTGTGTGACTGATGCTATTTTTGTAATGCTCACAATTCTAGTATCTAGATGTGCTGAAACTGTGGCGTGTATATATATACATATATATACTACACTACTATTGCCATAATAATGGGGAAACCATTTTGGCAAAGTAGTAATCTCACCACTGCTTTTGGGCCCAAAATTTGAGCTGATCTGGATGGTGATAGAATTTTCCATGTACAGTATTGAAAAATACCTGGATTTAGAATGTATGCATTTTAATAGTCAAGCATTACATTCCATCTACCTACGTATGCGGAACTTAGATCAGTTGTTTTTACTGCTATGATTGGAAATCAATGCCTTGGTGTATTTTGAATGTTAACCAAGTACATTTCAGCCATGTGTGCAGAATTTTAAATAGATTGTTGGTTGCAGCTATTGCTAGTAGGACTGTTCTGCCTGTTAGCACCGTGCTAAATTGTAATGTAACATTACCAAATACTGTAAATCCTGTTTACCTTTTGCCCTATTATTTTACATCTGCAGAAAATGAAGTATAGATCATTAAATTATTATATGTTCATTTTAATAGCAATAATTAGGAATGTCATGTAGCAGGAAAGAAGAGGTTGTCAATATGCTACAATCCGTAGTCAGTTATAAATCTAAATATGCAGCATGTGTAATCACATGTGCATGTCAGGGCAGCAGAATATACATATGCCAATATATGCACTTCTATTTTTAACAAATGGTTTTATATTTTGTTTAGCCACAGTTTTTTATTTACCTGTTCTGCCTTAAAAGACTGCAGTCATTTCAGTGAACCCCTTGAATTGTTTAGTCTGTTGCCTGGAACACCACCTTTGTAGCAATGCATTGAATTAACTCATTTTAGGATTTTACTGAAAACTTACAATTGCCTTTCGATAAGGCCTTAGTCATTATTATTTAGTTTCATGTAAGAATGGCTTCATTTTTTCACTTTCATTTTTCATTGAGGAGGGCAGCATTCATTTTTAGCAAGAGTTTCCCATTCCACTAATGCACTTTCCCCCTATTATAATTAACACTTGTCATCCTGCTAGAAGCGTGCGTTTTCTTACTTTGGACATTATCATGTAGATAGATTCATATGGAATATTTTCTACAATAAACTAAGTGAATTCTTCATGATCATGAAACATTTTGTATGCCAACAACACATGCCGTCTGTTGGCATAATCATCACTGACAGTTATTTTCCATAGCTGAATGTAGGTGTCAGACAGAAGGGTTTAAGCAATGACTTTGTTAAACCCAGCTAAACTTAATTTTAATATTTTATCAGCTTACAGTTATGGAGGTTTATGTTTGGACCTGTGCAGTGCAATTAATTTTAAAAATACACACTGAGGTGTGGGTTAGCAAAGTACAGATGGTCCTTCTCATTTATTTCTTTTTTCTCATATTTTGCCTCACACCAAAGGAGGAATCAAAGCGAGTTCTGATGTATAAAATGCTTTCGGGATGATTCCTTAGATTCAGACGTATAAAAGTGTTCCAGCAGAAAGCTTTGCCTGCACAGTATCTACTCAGAGAGACAAAATATCTTTGTCTGATGAAAAATACTGTGAAAATGATAATTAACCATGAAGAATAGCTCAAAGTGGGTCCCATCAGTCAAATACAGTACTATATTTCTGGATGCACTCCTTTCATCAAATAATCATTGAGGGGGATGTATGGTTAGATAATACCTTCTGCAAAAAGGTTTTGCCTCCATAGGAATCATATCAGGAACTCTTCTGAAAGATGTACGTTGTTATGGTTGAACTGACCCTCACTGCAAAATTATAGCTTTAGTTCTTCCCTGTTGAGTATAGATACAACTACTTTTGAAATCTTATTTTATGATCTTTAAAAAAAATTGGTTCAGTATTCTGTATCACTTATTTAAGTATTTAATATATTTTTCATAAATTGTCAAATAATATTACAATTTTTAAGAGATATTGTGAATAATTAAGTGACATCTTTTGGGCCTCCGCCATGAAATATGTTCCTTAACACCGCTAAAATAAAATTAATTTAAAATAATAAATACAGTAGTTAGCTTTTTCCTGGTTGCTTGCTTAGTTTTATCTGGTGGGGTTATGTGGTCTGTGTATCATATAGCCCAGGCACCTTCCAGAATGTGCTTCTTTTTATCTCAGAGAGCAGGTCTAGAATGAATATTTGAAATATAATGTGTATCTCTGCAAATAGTAGTGGGACTTCCAGTAACTTACTGAGTAACTTTGTATTTTGTGGCATGATTTTAAAGGTAAAGGTAAAAGTTCCCCTTGACAATTTTTGTCCAGTTGTGTTCAACTCTAGGGGGCGGTGCTCATCCCCGTTTCCAAACCATAGAGCCAGCGTTATGTCTGAAAACAATCTTCCGTGATCACATGGCCAGTGCAACTTAGACACGGAACACTGTTACCTTCCCACCAAGGTGGTCCCTATTTATCTACTTGCATTTGCATGCTTTCGAACCGCTAGGTTGGCGGGAGATGGGACAAGCAACGGGAGCTCACTCCGTTACGTGGATTCGATCTTACGACTGCTGGTCTTCTGACCCTGCAGCACAGGCTTCTGTGGTTTAGCCCGCAGCGCCACCACGTCCCTCTGGCATGATTTTACAAGACAGTAATTTGACCTAGAGCTGTGGATAAAGTTGAAAATCTAATCATAGTAACCATGTTCAGAACTGCTTCTTTAGCACCAGTATTAGAAATAGTTAATCATAAGAGTAACTAAAATTTGTCATTTATTTTGTAATTATGCTTCTGTTCATTGAGTAGGCAGGAACCAACTGGATAGTTTTGTAGCTGAGTAGAGACTGAAAGAGCAATGCATTGATAGGTCCAAGATACATGCAGGAAGAATGTGTCTCTGTCCCTAGTTCAAAACTCTGTTACACCATAGATCTTAGAGAGAAGAGCAGAAGGAAACAAACTGAACAGAAAAGGGGATCCTGGGATTTATCATTCTTCTCTTATCTGCATTTACCTTGAACCCAACTATGTGCTGCTCTCTCAAAGGATGAAAGAAAATGTATTTATATTCTGCTAAATAATGTATTAATTTAAAGGAACTGTCACTCTCGAATTGGCCTTCTCAGCCACACTAGACGCTGTTCCAAGTCCTCTATTCAGAGCACGTTACCATAGTCTCTTGAGACTGAAGGATGCCTAATCTACAATGTATTAATTTTAATTTCCAAATGATTAAGGGGTAATACTGATTTTGAATCAGAAACATTTGGCTCAATCTCCACATATCAGCTTGTTAGTGGGAATGTATAATCGCAAAACTGTCTCATCCCTTGCCATTGGTTATGCTGATGAGCAAATGGCATGGCAATAGCATTTGCACTCCCAGCATATGAGAATTTTAAGAAACAACAGCCAGCATTAGATCCCTGTCAAGAATTTCTTCCTGTCCGTCTCCCATAGTGCAGAAAGCCTGCTCCAGACATTTTGCCAGCCCATTGGAGCAGATTCTGAAAGTGCATACGGGAATGCAGGAAGGTGAAGGCCATTGTCTCTCTCTGGCTTCCAGTGGTGGAAGCAGCTTCCAGCAGCAAAAGCATCTGCAACTGGATTCTGTCCATGTCTACTTAGGTCAAAGCATATAAATGAACTTGTTCCTTCCTGAATTATTTGCTTAATGGGCATACCTTTTTGAAATAACAGAAAATATGTAACCAAGTTAACTTCCCTATGTAGTATAAATGCCACAATAGTGAAGTCGCATCAGTAAAGGAGATGCTTCAGGAATCTCACATAGGCACAAAATCCTCAGAAGGGTCTGCTGAACTGTTTAAATGATTAGATAGATTCATATTATGAGTAGAATTTCCATGAAAACAGGAATTTGGCAGATATGACTACTTAAGCAGAGATTATGGTTGCTTATTATTTAACTGCTTGTAGTGCTGCATGTGAAGTCATCGTCATAAAGAGTACACATTAGCAGTATCTTCTTCTCTGAGTAAGTTACCTTAGGTTACTAAACAAGGGTTGGAACTGTTGTTATCACATTAACCAAGTATTGTCAGTAGGAAAATTGTGTGAATGCCATCTTAAAGCACCTATGCCAGCATACTGGAATTAAGCAGAATTAATCAATTAGGTTGAGGCTATGTTCCTTAGCACAAATACTTGAAAATGCATTCAGTTGATTTAGTTTAGGATTGGAATGGCAGTTAGTTTAAACTGAGAAGCACACTAGCTTGAGCTGATTGCCTGTGAAGCAGCCATTACAACAGAAAATCCTGAATTTAAGTGCCCTTGGAGGGGGGAAAGTTGATGAAAGAATCAGAAATATTTAAAATAAAATATGATAAAATGGATTGCTTTGTTTGAATGTATAACACAAAACTTAAATCATGTGAATATGGAATTTTTCTTCTACGTAGCAGACAAGATGGATTTTTAAATAGTTATTTCTAAAAATACCTTTGAGATTACTGCTCCCACAAAATACATTTGTTTTCAGTATTCTGTAAATGTAAGCTGTTCTATAAAAGTGCTAGGAAAGGGACTGCAGAACTAAGAACCTTCCATAGACCTTTGGTTATATAGTTGAGACGTAGTGAAGTACTTCACATCTCTTAGGCACTTGCTATCAACAAGGGACTTGTCCAATCCCTGGAAAAGATATTAGTGATTTTTGCATTAGTTAAGTGGCCGTCTATATTGTTAGGACACTGAGGGAACTGCATGATTATCATGAGTGAAATAAGAAACACTGCATAACTTTAAACTTTATGGGAAATGGTGGATCGCATCCAGTGGTTTCATTCTGCCAACACTACACTTGTACTACTTATATAAACTATTTTTTATCCTTGCATATATGTCAGATCAAATACTTTGATTACACAGGCTCTTTCACAGTTTATTATAATTTTACTGTGCTGCTTTTTGCTAGTGCTAGATGCTCTACTAGCATTTCTGCAACCATTAGTTGAACAGTTTCACTTCTTTTTCCTCCAGGATTATTTTGGATGCACCCACAATCTCCATTAATAAGTGGGTTTAATCATTCTTGTTGAGCCTGCACTTTATCTATTCTGGAGCATCTGTCTTTTTTTAATTTTGACTACTTTGAAGCATCTTAGTTGTTAATAGGACAGAACCTGTTCAGTACAGATGTTGTATGCAAAATGTATTTGCTGCTATACCAGTGTAAGTGCTTGGACATACATCCAAAGATTGAGGGCATGTCCAGACTGGCCCTTTTGGTGTCGGCTGGTGCAGCCTAAATAGAGTTGGTCATAGGGAGGGGGGGAGCAATATGCCAATTGGTGCAATCCTTGCATCCAAATGGTCAGTTCAAGCAACCCTATTTCTAGCATCCTAAAGTGGCAAGTTTATGCAAAGCTGGAGTTTGGGAGAAGGAAAAGGGAGTGGGTTCAAGTATGTCTGGGAAGGGCAGGTAGCAGAAGCAGAGAAAGACCAGCAAGATACATGTGGTGCAAAGAGAGAAACCAAATGCAATCAGACACCTGCATGCCCTTTGTGCTCTCCTTTGGCTTCACCAACTTTGGAGAGGGAGTGGGAGAAACAAAAGAACAGGACACGCAGAGACGTGTTCTGTGTTTCCCACTGACACCCCCATCTCACCATTGGAGGGGGGCGTCAGTGGTGTATTGTACACACAGACAGACATGTGAGTAAAAAGATATGAGGATTGTTTTGAGATCACAAAACCAATAAAAAAAGAATAGGTATATATGCATCTGAACAAGAGATTTCCCCAACAGGATCCCTGTGTCTATGTAAAAATAAAAGAGACATTCTGTTGCAGATCCGTGCACACCTCCCATTTGCACTTTGTCTTCCAGCTACACTCAACTTTTCCGCCTCTCTTTTGCACGCAACAGACACCCCCAAGAAAAAAAGAAGGGGGGGGAATGTGTCTTTCTTTGCTTTCTTAAGTTGCAAGATGTTTGTCTAGCTATAGGTGTGCACACACTCCAGACATGCTCACTCTATTCAAAAAACATTTAGCATAATCAATGGGGAGGAGAGAGAGAAAATAAATGCTAGACCATTGCTGATGTGCTGAATCACTAAGATTAAATTTCTTTACCTTATGTGCTGTGATGACTGAGAAACTGTAGTTTCAGTTGCCATTTTACACAAAGGAAAAGGGGGGATTAAATCTGTGCATCAGCAGTAGCCTACTACAGGGTTTCCCAACTCCTGGTCCACAGCCCAGTATCGGGCTATGACCTTGGCAGGACCTTGGCTATGGAGACAGATCTCCTGCCGCCCCCTGCATGCACACACACACCCACAGACACACACCCCACACATGAACAATGACTCCCCCCTGCCCAAATACTAAACCGGTCCGTGGTTTGAAAAATGTTGGGAACCACTGGTCTAGTAGATGCAAAAAAAAAAAAAAAAAAAAAAAATTCACTTCCCTTACCTGGCTGCAGAAGAAATGTTTAATTTGCCAGTGCGTACCTTGAAGTGGCTTGCTTATTAATCCACTTCACAGCACCAGAATTTAAACCAGAAGGAGTCATGGCAGCTTTACCAACTGCAAGCATCAATTTTGGTCTGTTCCCAGTGATTGCACATGCGAATTAAACTAGAGCGCACCAACCCACACCAAAAAAGTAGAAGACCCTAACAGGCTCAAAAAGGTGCAGGTTGAGGGTGCTTTGGGGGCAAATTGGTCCTCTTTAGCAATTAGATTGTGGGGGGAGGGAGAGTAAATCAATCTGCCCCTGCAAGCACAAACGAGCAGGACTAATGCCTGTCTGGATATGCCCTGAGATTTCCAAGAAAATCTTTTGAACCAAAGGTGGTCACTCGTGATGTCATTATGATGCCCAAGTAAGTTGTTTGGGTATATGAATGATCCATCTAGGCACCAGGGCATTAGGAAATGGCATATGATCGGGACACCCATTTTTATGAAAACTGGACCCAAACCAGGCAACTGTGGAAATACTTAAATGCATAAGCACTGCACAGTTATCAAACAAAATCAAGCCATGATTTTGACAGCTGTTCACATTTGCTATATAAAATTAAGTTTAGTTTCCTTTGTCATGAAAGGTTATATGAAATCCACTATTGTACTTCACATAATTGTGTTTTCACAGAAGTAAAGATTAAATTTGCATCCCACTCTGGGAAAACAGTATATTAAAATAATCTTTGAAAAAATCATACATTTGGAAAAACACAACTATTTAAAATCTTATTCAATATGACAATTATTAGTTAAGCATTGCATATTAGAGTTAAATGTATATATAATGTACGGCATCTACTAAAATGCTATGTTTACATATATACATGTTTTCCCTGCTAAACTACATTTTTTAAAAAGAGATAATTAGAATTTAAATGTTAGTTGTACTATTCCAAGCCCCAAGTTGGATCCAAATGTAGTCATATATCGAATAGACCCATTGAAATTAATGGAACATAAAGTTAGTCATCACTGACAGAAGTCCCATTCATTTCAGTGTGTTCAAACCTGGATCCAGCTTCATTAAAATAAATGGAAATGTTTAAATTCAGTTTGGTGGGATGTGAAATACATCCAGAGATTAAATTTCTTTAGGTCAGGAGGTTCAGTCCTAAACACTTCTGGTGGAGAGTCCGGGCCCACTGGGACAAACTCCAGAGTAAACATGCATGGGATTGTGCTTTAAGCATGCACTAGTACAGCAACATGCAAAATAACTCTCCAGAGTCCCACAGAGGATCCTACAATGAATCAAGGAGGGTGGCTATTTATCACCCAGGTCTTGTCTCAGTCTCTAATCTATGGTATTGCATGTCCTGGGCAGGCAAGCGTGGGCGTCGCAGCAGTGCAGGATCGCTAGACAGCAATATGGAAGTAAGTAGGAAGTTACTGATGTCTAGCTGGATGTGATGTGCATTTCAAACCTTTCTTTTATATACATTTTTTGCTCTTTTTCTTCTAACATACAACTTGCCTGCCTCAAATAAAATGCATGCCAAGGCTACTCACTTTGTATTTTTAGCATTAAAAAACAACAACAGCAACACTATTTCTGGCTTGTTTTAGATCAAGCACCCCCCCTCCTTTTTTATATATCTATATATAATTTCAGCTAACCTTGTCCCCTTTTGTTCCTGCAAGCATGATTCAATGAATACAATGTGCCCTCTTGCCACCGTTTCAGTCTGGTCCCTGCTTAAAAGCCCAGTGGTTCGTGGTTACACAGTGCGATCTTGGTGCTGTTTTGATATTTAACCTAACTATTGACTTCATGCTCAGCCATTCATATTGCTTATTTTCTAGTTAAACTGTGAAATGTATGCAGTCATGACACCATGGAATTGCATAGATAGGGCATGGGGAAAGAAAACAAATAAAGACGGATGAATTCAATGTGGATTTCATGAGATTTCATTCATCTTCAAACCATTTATATACTGTTCATGTCTTTGGATTCAGCCTGCAGATTTGTGTGTGTGTGTGCGTGCACACATGTATGTATGTGTGGTGTGTATGTGTATGTTTGAATTAGGTAGACTACAGTCTACATATAGCACATGGTGCCTCACCATTGCTATGTCCCTTTAGTAGCCTGTAAGAAAAATAAAAGTGTCCCCAGTAGCTAAAAATTAGGAAATATTGTGCTGTAGGTCAGGAGGTGCATAAAGTGCACAGAGCCTGTTGAAAAAGAGATCCAGTCTGTTAGTAAGAGGCCCCTTCTTTCATAAAAACAGAAAAAGATTATTATTCAGTTTAATTTTAGGGGGGAAAGCAACAGAAGATCTGAATAGTAACAGTGTGCCAATTATTTAATTTTAATTCAGTATATTGGTCCTGGGGGGGAATAAACTATAATATTTTTAAATTTAAAAAATAGTTTAAAACAAAAAGAAAGACATATGTCACTGATCTTGGATAAGTTGTTACTGCTTAATATATTAATTTCTTTTTTAAAACAAACACAAGTATCTGTAAATGGGTCATATTTATCATCACCCGCTTGTACCTAGAAGAAACAAATTGGAAGAGAGATAGAGAGAGACTAAATGAAAGACAGATTGTCTTCTACGCCATACAACAGTTTATCCATATGAGTTCTCAAGAGAGAAAAAAAACATGATGGTCGCTGTGAACTTTTTTCTTTTACACATATTTTGATATTTTTTTTAATTTTTATTTTCTATTAATTTCTTTTTAGGGGTCCATCATTAGCAGTCCTCATATGCGCCGAAGAGCTACATCAACCCGAGAGTGTCCATCTCGCCCTCACCAGACTATGCCTAATTCTTCCTCACTACTAGGGTCCTTATTTGGTAGCAAAAGAGGAAAGCCTTCCCAAGGCCATCTAATCTCTGGCCCATCACAACCACCTCCGCACCCTCCCATAATTTCACATCAGCAGCATTCTCAGCACCCTTCGGCCGTGCACCACGCAGGGCCGTTGGAGGGGCAGACCCAGGCACAAGTGCACACTCACCATTCTCAGTACTGCCACATGCAGAATCCACCCCCTTATCACCACCACCACCATTACCACCCACCCCAACATATCCAGCATCCACATCAATATCACCATATGCCGCATTCACAACACGTAGCTCATACGCCACACTCTTACATGCCACATTCCCACTCACCACATTCCCATGTTCCCCACCCTTCCTTGCCCCCTCCTCACTCAGTTCACTCTTCCCATGTTTCCCACCACCATGGACAGCCAGGGGCCGCTTCTACTTCAACCAGCACTAAGCCCAAACATAGCGGCATCAGCACAGTAGTCTAGAACCAAAACCGCCCTGCCAGCAAATGTAGCTCTAGACATAAATGTAAATGGCACTTAACAGAAAACAGAAGCAGCCTGTAAAACTGGATTTTAAAAAATTCCAAGCCAGAAAGAACTTACTTGTCTCCTTTGCCTTAAGGATTCAATAGAACAATTCATCATATTAGCCTGATTGTTGCTGGTCTTACTGTTGAAATTGGTGGTGACCTTCTCCCTCCTTTTTTTCCAGTAGCCTTGAAAAATACAATGCTTGCTGAAAACATTAAGCTACCTTTATTCATTCCCATGACAGTTTTTAATGCATAACTAAAACATAACCAATTCAAAATAAAAGGAAAAAAAATGAACTAGAACCAGGTGTTGCATTCTTGCTCCTTAATTGTCAATGGGCAAAAAAAGTAGACCTCATATGGTTGATGAAAGTACGTAAGTAAACTTTATATAATATAAATATATAAATATATACATATATACATATATATACTGTATAGTTAACATTTATGCTTAGAACAAAACTTTTGCAGTCCACAAAGCTAGCAATATATACTTTACCAGGAATTCCACTTACTGATAGAAGGGCAGTACAATAGATGAACAATGTATGAAAATGTAGACCAAAAACTAGAACAAACTCCAGGCATTTCAGTATTCTCATTTAAAGGTTTTCTGGATTTGGGGGGTATGGGGGGCAGAATCTCTAAGCAATCACTGCAACATGTGCCAACTAACATAGCATTTAGCAGGTGTAGTTAAATATTACTTTGTACAAATCCTTATTTTATTAACATAATATACTCAGTATTAAAAACTGCTCTGCTATTTCAGGTAAGCAAACTAGTTAAGATGCAGTAACTATACAGTAGCAACAAGAGATAACCTTTATTATAGGTTCTCTTTACATTTTGGTTACTCAACTTATTAGACACTTTAAAGGCTGTGATAACTGTGAACTTACACTATCTACATTTCTTTTATATCCATATATGTTTTAATAAACACACATGAAGATGTAAATGGAAGGTACTTGCATACACTGCATAAACATTCATCTCAGACCTTAAAATAGAAACATCCATTCGTTTCAGCCACATTGCCTCTTTTCTATAAGTTACTCAGATTATCTCAATTAAAATAGACTGGAGTTCAGAGTTTTTTCCATATGAAAGCAATCTGAAACTTGAAGGCTTATTTTAGTATTGAGTGTAGATTTTTATAACTGTAATTCCATGTAGCCATGTGCTGGCAACAGGACTTTCTCACCATTTTTCTCATCACATTTGTTAGTTTTACCCAGCACTCAGCAGGCTGAGTCTATGCTCAAACTGTCATAGTCTAGTTAGTCGCAAGACATCTTGTAAAATCCAGCTGTGCTCTTGTTGCTTATGTGTTGTAATGAGTCATTTGCAAATCCATATGAGATTTTTTTTGTATCCCTAAACCCTATTTTTTTAAAAAAGAAAATCATACATGGAGCATACTTTATAGTTTCAGCATTTTGAGCCACCTCAGTCACAAGGACTGTACATCTGACTGGTGGAAACGAAAAGAACCGCGGAACTGCATCGGCAGAATTGTGAATGTGGTTTAAAAGAAGCAGAAGGAAAAAGTTCCAGTGACAGATGGGTAAAACAAAACAAAAATGATTATTGCTTCTGAATGTTGAAGTGATGTGTGAAGATGACTTTATTGTACTGGTTATTTCTAATGTCTCCTGTTTGTCTGTTTGTTGTTCTTTCTCTCTCTCTCTCTCTCTCTCTCTCTCTCTCTCCTCCCCCCTCTTCATGCAATGGATTATACCATGGCTACCAGCAAAACTGAAAACTGAGTACTGTACAGTACTTTTGTTAACTTGCATTCAACACAAGCATTCACCTAGAGTTATATTATTTTCAATGTGTGCAATATTTTTTCTACAAAATAACTTCATATGAAATAAAGTAATAAAAATAAATCAAATAGTCAACCAGTCTGTCCAAAATGGTGCAGATTACCTAAGAGGGCTCATATCAGCCCCCTGAGGGTCTGTTCCTTGCAATTTAAACTGTTTTGTTCCTATAAGAGATAATAGAACTGTCTGCATGTCATCTAATGTTAATAGTGTTGAAGATACACTCTACATATTGTATATTTGCAAAATATATCAGTGTTACTGTTGATATTAGTTGAAGTAAAGTGATAACATATTTAAATATGTAGGCTTTTCTTCAGACCTTTGTACCAATAGTAGAGTCTAACTATAATTTATAAGTTTTCCCAGAAAAGATACAATTGGTGGTGGACACTTTTATCCTTTGTATTGCTCACTGTATGTTCTGCATGAACCAAGCTCAAAGCACAAGCTCAGAATGTCTGTCCATCTTTTTTTTAATTTGATATCCTAAAAGCTATTTTTAAAATACATTGACCATTTTTTTCTGCCAATTATTCCATTCCCTCAGGTAACTTCATGAATTATGTCAAGATTTGCTTCATATGCATGTAGTAAGGTACAAACTGAAGTGATATCCTATTGTATGTATATGGAACATAAAATTGTAATGAAATCATACTTGAACAAATCATGAAACACACAAGAAACTGCCTAATCTGAGGTCTTCTGTTGCTGTGGTTTTAATGTATTTTCAAAGCTTAAATCCAGCATCATGCTGATGTCGCAGTTTCAGCACAATGGAAATCTCTTCCCCTTTCCTCCTCCTCGCAGTTCTCTATACCCTCTCCAAAACTGGCTGCAGCTCTGTAAACCTCCAGAGCTGGTTTGGGGGGCTTACAAGGGTCTGTAGTGGGATGAGGAGAGATTGTCTATTTCTGCTGTTCTGTCAATGGAACTCCAGTATTAGATAATGCCCCAAACTTTGCTGATTTTTAGAGGACTACTCTGAAATACTAGAATATCTTTCCAAACAACAGTACAGTATCTTTTTCCCCTGCAGTGTTCCCAGCTTGGTACCCCAAATGTTCTTGGACTAAAACTCCCAGGAGCTTTCCTCACTAGCTGCGCTGGTCAGGATTTCTAGGAGTTGTAATCCAGGAACATCTGGGGACCCAAGGTTGGGAACCACTGCCCTAGAGGAGGAAAATGACGGTGATCACAGTTGGGTTCTTTGTGCTGTGGGAGATTGAAATCATTATGTTACACAATAAAATAGGTGGTTTTTTTTTTACATTTTTCTTAATGATTAAAAATCAGTACAAGCCACTACTGAGCCATATTTCTTTCTTCCCCTGGATAAATTAATATCAGTAAAAACAACCATCCAATGACGTTAAAGGGAAGACTGAATAACCAAAATATCTTTTGTGGGACAACAGTCAAATATGTATTTGCTTTTTTTAATCCTTTTAAGTTAAGAATGAAGTGTACAACAATGTAAAAAGAAAACAAAATAATCCTAATATAATGTACATGTCTTGTATTGCTAAAAAAACAAAGTCTTCAAGCATACCATTGTAGAAAGATTTTTCCCATCAAGCACTGCATGCAGCAGAAGCCTCTTGTTTCTTGGTTTTAAAATGAGCTGAAGACAGTCAGCAGCTATTTAAACAATGACTCTCTACATGTTGACGTGCTGTTCCATATAAAGCTGTGCGTTTCCTGCAATTAAGCATGCATTTTGCTGTTTCCGTTGTTAAGTATCATCACACCTTGCCTGCAAGAAGAGTAATTGTGTATATAGTTAAAAGGAAAACAAAACTTGACCAATAAGATGAAATTTTGAGGGAGGGAAAAGGGTAACGGAAACAGGACCAAGTAGGGAAAATAGCTAATTCTCTAAATTGTATATAGTGTGTAAATTAGTATTAATATAAGTCTGCAGTCACTTTCAGGTTGCACACAGTACCTGTCTCCTGCTAGGAACTTTAATCCCAGCATCGAGAAGTAGTAAACTGTTAGAATTAGGTCTTGAATGCAGACTATTAAAAAAAAACCTTCAAGAAACATCATGCTCACAAGAAGCTTCTGTTATGGGAGGCTCGAGACCCATTTTGTAACTGTTGGGAAGGAAAGAGTGCTTTCATTTTAATATGCATTGTTTGTAAGTAGTATCAGACCTTATCGTTGTAAAATTATAACTGTGATTATGTGAGAAATCAAATAAATCACTTTGAACTCACTCAGTTGCTCATCCTTTATAGAACTGCAAGCATTTATATTTTTTCATATTAAATGAATAAAATTACTATGCCACTTTTGTTTTTTGAAATCTCAGTTTGTATTGTTTTGAAGAGAACCACCACCAAACACTAAGGAAAGAGGTAAATTTCAGCACCATGGTGAAGTTTCAAGAGACTAATTGGATATGTTTTTGTCCCTGTCCAGGGTTTACAATGCTTGACAGATATCTTAACAGAATTGAAGAGTACAGAGAGGCACTTACATAATTTTCCAGTTGCAAGGCTACCTCAGCTCTGTTCAATATGGAAATCTGGTCCCACCCATTTTTATTCCTAACAGAAAATGGAAAACTGAGACCCTTGCCATTGTTAGTTGCTGTTATTATGCAATGATGCACATTCCTCTTCGCATCTCCCACCAGCTATTACCTTGCCACCTTAAAAAAAAGACAGTGTGCTCTGATCAATTGGCAGCCTGTGGGGTGTTGAAGATGTGGAATATAACATACCACTGGGATCGCTTGACAGTAGCAGCATGAGGTTTTTTTAAAAAAAGGATGACAACATTTGATAGTATTTGTACCCAGTTTTGTTCCCCGCCTCAGCAAAACCAAGATCAGACAAAGTCTCATTGTCTGCACAGGAACAGTGTGCAGATAAGAGCGGACAGAAATGGCCACATGAAGGCTAGGTCGTCTCTCCCTCTCTGCACCTTCCCTCCCCTCTTGCTACTCTGCATCCAGAATGTTACCAATGGGTCAGACAGACAGTCCTATATGAGTCCAGGGACCCTTGTGATGGTGGTGGTGGTGTCAGACAGACAGTCCTATATGAGTCCAGGTGGTGGGGGGAGACTGGAAGACTTTCTGTCACTTCTATGACAATAGGGAGTGTGAGTTGATCATGGCTGCCATTATAGGAGAGTAGAAAAGGCATGCAAAAGCCCACTATACAGAGTGTTTCTTCTTCCCCTTGCAGGCATTCTGCAGCATTGTGTGATGGCCAGCACTCTGCCACTAATGGGGATTTAATGGTGACTAGAAAAGATGCCTCTTCCCTCCCACTCCCCTCAGACTGGAAGAATAGTAGTAGTGACTGGTCTCCAGATTTTGGGGGGGGGGGGAGACAGGATTTCTTCCAGAGAAAATTGTAACTTAACGTGCTTCTCTGCTGTGGAGGATTTCCCCGCCCTTTCGAGGAAGGCTAAAAAGACTTTTATCAAAAGAAGAAGAAGGGGGGGGAGCCCACACAGACTACTGATGCAGCTAAGTCTGTTTTTATAGCTCCTGCCTTGCCCTCTCCTGACTTTTTATAGATCTGATGACTCATTAATGGTCTTTAGCTGGTGTTGTAAAATGCACTTGTGGTATACTGGATCTCCCTTTCTTCATTGCAAAGCATTACACAATTTAAAATTATGGATGTATATGAAACATAAATAAAGTTCAAACAAATTTAAAATGTTAAAATGAAGCAGTATATGGTATAGAGTAACAGACTTAGGAGACCTAGGTTCAAACCCTAGCTTGGCCATGTCAATTGCTGAGAAGGAGGGTGGCGCTGGTAAAACCATTCCTTAAAATGGCACTTATCCTTGAAAGCCCTATTGGGCTCACTATAAGTTGGTTCTCACTTAACAGCATATTACACACACAACACTGTTATGGGCAAGTTTCAGTCAGTCATCCTGACTAAGAAGTTGGAACTCCTAACACTTTTAACTCTAAACCTAATGGCCTATCTGATTTATCTTTGGTTGGGACCAGATGGACCAACTAGGAAATCGCTGTACTGGGTGCCTGCTAGGAGCAAACCAAGGGTAAAACAAACAGATAAGCGGCTGGAAAAGTTACTTTTAGGGACTACCCAGTAACTTCTACTCAGCAAGGTCAATGTCTGTGCCAGCTAGGGATTCCTTGGAGCTGTGCCATTAACTAATTTTTCTAAGGTCTCAGTGAGATACATTGTGATAAGTAGTTGGCCTTACTTCTCAGGGAGGTTAATGTAGGCGTTTGGAAGCCAAGTGCATGAGAATATGTACAGCAATTAACCCCTAAATATAAATCCTGCCCGCCCCCCAAAATTCCTCATTAAAACAGTTATCACCTCGGAATGTACAGTATCTTAATGTCATGTTTGTAAGAACATAAAATTTAATGGTGCAATTTAAAAGGGTACCACAAAAACTATTATTTTAATGGTAAAGTTTTGTATTATGTTTTTCTAAATATTAGTCACCTAGAAAGAATGTGAAAAATAAATACATATTCTGTATCAAAAATTAAAGTGTCAGGCCTTTGCCTCCCAACTTCTCTAGGCTGTAAGTTGGAAACTTATATATTCAAAGCTGATTGATTAGGTGCATTGTATTGATTTGTCTATTTCTCCTATTTACTTTTTCTACCTATTAGATCAGAATCCAACATGCCACATATAAAACAATTACATCACTGTTTTAATAACATGCAGCCTCCTAATAATTATGAAGAAATGGCAAGGGGAGAGGGGGTGGTCTTACGTTCTTCTTTGGTAACTGTAATAAAACAATAAATCACTGACCCAAATTAATTTGGCCATCAGAAAGAAACTGCAGAAACTCACATAATATAGCATTGCTTGGAATTGATAATTGTATATCAATGAGTATATGTATGTTCTTGTGCTTTGTCATGGTATCAACATACATAAAATCTTTAAATGCACACAGAACCTGGATATGTGGTATATCACATTCTTCCTTATTTAGCTGCCCAAGTATTAAGCTCTAATCAGGATACTCTCCACACAATAGTACACTTACCATGGATTTAGTCTTAGGCAACCCAAGAGATTATGTTCTTGACAAAGGCATTGTGACTCTAATTTCGTTAGTTACAGTACTTTTTTATTTTGCTCCATTCTGTCCCAGTTGTGCCAAAGCAGGACTGCAATTGAATAAGAAGAAATCAAAAATTGTGACTACAGAAGAACTATACAACTGTAATATTGACAACGAATACACTGAAATAGAGATTTTGTATACCTTGATTCAATCATCTATCCAAATGGAGACTGCAGCAAAGAAATCAGAGGAAGGCTGGAATTAGAAAATATGAAAGTGTAAGGATGTATCACTGGAGACCAAGACCAAGATCATCTCTACTATTGTATTCCTGCTCTCCATATGAGGGTGTGAAAGCTGGACAGTAAAGAAAGCTGACTGGAAAAAATATCTGAAATTTAAATTTTTATAAATTTATTGTCATTGTAAGTATATACACAATATACACATACAACGAAATTCACACGGACACCCAGAGACCAGACCCACATGCACACATATAAAAAATCCCCAAACACTCCACACCCACTAAAAATCCCCCACTAAGAACACAAACATCTGCACTGCAGGCTAAGTAACACTGTCCAACTGTTCACTGCTGGTGGTATTTAAGTTCATTATTAAGTACAATTATAGGTCTGGGATAAAAACTATTCAGAAAACATGTGTCCGAGTCTTAATTGTTCTGTATCTTCTGCCAGTCAGCAACGTTTCAACGAAGCTGTGAGCAGGATGGGAAAAGTCTCTAAGGATGTTGTGTGACTTCCTCAGTCAGTGGGATGTGAAGATGTCCTCCAGGGTTGATAGCTGGACCCCGATGATATTCTAGGCAATTTTAATGGTTCTCTGTAGAGCTTTTTTGTCCGCTACAGAGCTGCTCCCAAACCATACAAGAATGCCATAGGTTAGGACACTCAATGGTGCTACGATAGTAGGACAGAAGTAAATGCTGAGATAAATTTGACCTCCCAAGTATTCTCAGGAAATACAGCCTCTTCTGTGCCTTCTTCACTAGCATGTTGGCATTTATGAGAAGTCCTCTGAGATGTAAGTGCCCAGAAATTTGTTTGAAATGTGCTCAAGGAGAAACTTGTGGATGCCCTGAAGTGCAAGAAAGACAAGTGGGCCCTAGATCAAATCAAGGCAAAACTCCCTGGAGATAAAAATGTTGAAACAGGCTGTCCTACTTTGGGTATATCGTGAGAAGGCGGGTTCTCTGGAAAAGACAATAATGTTGGGAAAGTTTGAAGGCAGCAGAAAAAGAAAACCAAATGTGAGATGGACTGATTCCATAAAGGAAGCTACAGTCTTGCATTTACAGGACTGTTGAGGACAGGACATTTTGGAAATCACTCATTCATAGGGTCGCCCTAAGTCAGAGGCTACTTGATTGCACATAATATATCAACACAAGCTCCTTGAACTTGGCTCAGTAGCATAGCCAGTGCAACTGAAGTTTCTGCACAAACTTTAAAGGCAGCCTCAAACATAGCACATTGCAATCTGAAATAAACTACTTTTAAATAAATATCTGGGGGAGACACTGTAGCAAACCACTTGCTTTGCCATGTCCACACACAGAGATGGTTTAAAATATCATTTTACAGTCTTTTGGAAACATAAATAATGCTGGCACACCCATTGCAAGCATGTTGCCATGGTTAGTGATGACAATTTTTGAATCTGCTCTTGAGGAAAGTATGCAATCCAGGGGTGATTCTGAAGTGGCCTTCTACAAAAGGAGTGTCCTTTCAGGTCAAGGCTGTGGTGCACACAGTCAAAGGCTTTTGCATAGTCAATGAAGCAGAAGTAAATGTTTTTCTGGAACTCTGGCTTTCTCCATAATCTAGCACATGTTAGCAATTTGGTCTCTATTTCCTCTACCCCTTCGAAATCCATCTTGTACTTCTGGGAGTTCTCGGTGCACATACTGCTGAAGCCTACCTTGTAAGATTCTGAGCTTTTATTTATTTATTTGTTTGTTTGTTTGTTTGTTTGTTTATTTGTTTATTTATTTATTTATTTATTTATTTATTTATTTAATTTTATACCCCGCCCATTTAGACGATGTCTACTCTTGCTAGCGGGTGAAATGAGTGCAATTGTACGGTAGTTGGAGCACTCTTTGGCACTGCCCTTCTTTGGGATTGTGATGTAGACTGGTCTTTTCCAATCCTC